CATAAGAATAACATTGTGTCGTTTGTTTGTTGTCCCTCCAGGCCTCTGACGTCACACCTAGAATCGACTCTGACGTCACAAGTGACAGAGCCTAATAGAAACGTAACCGGAATCCTAAGGCCTGAGCAGAATAGCAACGTAACCGGTTTACCGGTATCGTAATCGTAAACGCAACCGGAAGAATAAGTTAGAAAAGGACAAACAATCTATCTATCCTTCTCTAACTCATTTTTCCGGTTACATTTCTATTCTGCTCAGGCCTTTAACCGCAACCGGAATAATGAGTTAGAGAAGGACAAACAATATGTCTATCCTTCTCTAACTGATTCTTCGGTTGCATTTACGATTACGATTCTGGTTACGTTTCTGCTCAGGCCTTTGCCGTACCTTTAAACATGACATTTTAGTGTTTGGATTACTATTGGGATCAGAAATCACGCGAAACTGACTCACCCCTGAGCCTTCTTGTGACAACGATCTTGGTTTATTTTATCTCTTTCTTTTGTATGTTAGAGAAAAGGCCAACGCAGAATAGAAACGTAACCGCAATCGTAATCGTAAACGCAACCGGACGAATGAGTTAGAGAAGGACAAACAATCTATCTATCTTTCTCTAACTCATTCTTCCGGTTGCGTTTGCGATTACGATTCCGGTTACGTTTCTATTCTGCTCAGGCCTAAACACGAAATGAAAACATGGCCACCACAACAAGGCTTTCACCAGATGGCGTATCGCAGTATTTCAGATCCCAATATTTGATGTCAATAAATAAAAATTGATTAAAGAAATCGAATTTTCAAATAACTAAAAAGCAAAAAAAAATTCTCCTTCACAAATGAACAGTTTTTGAAGAAATCACTCGTGTATATCATCTTTGCGATGAATTGTTTTAGTGATGAAATTAATTTGTAACAAGATTGTGATATTGTATATCACATCTGATTATAGAGACAATATAATGAAGAAATATACTAATATACATATATATTCAAAGAACATTCTTCAGAGGCACACGAAGCGAAGAGTAGTAGTCTTTATTAAAATAAATTGGAAGGTGCAAAACGTCAACTCTAATTCAGCCAGTTGACCCTATACCAACTCTAATTGTGAACGTAACACGCACACTGGTCATTTAACATTTTAGAGTTTGAAGAAAAAAAAAATTGTTCAATAAATGTTTTATTATCTACATAAAATAAAAAATTCGGAGTTTCAATCTTTTTTAATCCTGATGTGTTGTTAATATCTTCAATAAAAAAATTAGTGTGAGAAGAAAAAATTAATTTTTTCTATTTATGGGACGAAAAAAAGTATAATCTTCTATTGAGAGGAAAATAGATTTCCCAAAAAAAAAAATTCTCTTTATTATTGGGATCGGCTAAACTGCAATACGCCATCTGGTGGGGACCCATTCTCTCCCTCCATTTTCTTTCTTTGTCTCTCTTCAATAAATAGGTTAGAAAGAGAAGAAAAAACAAAATGGAGGGAGAGAATGGGTCAAAGTTACTAGATTGTTACTAGACCACCGTTCCCAATACCCAATAGAATATTTTTATTTTGAATTAAAAAAAAAATACCAAAAAACGTTTTCCTCTATTATTAAGAGTATTCGTTTAATATTTTAGAGGATTTAAAAAAATTGTAATTTTTTTATTTTACGAGGCAAAATAACTAAAATTGAATCTATTGAGCCCCTCGTTATCGACGCCTCTGCTTGTATGATTAAGATGAAATTAATGACAAATTTTACATTCAGGGGTCGAGATCAAAGAACCCGTGCACGCGGTGTTCAAAGTATCTTTGAGTAATGCATGACGCATAGAAAAATTATTACATTTCTATATTCTTTTAAGAAATTAATTACAAATATCTCACCAACTTTTGCTTGGAGAAATATTCTTATTTTGAGAGGATGAACTGAAAGACTATCTCCAGAAGTAGAATATTCCTCTCAAAAATGAAATTGCATTTTTTTATGTAATTAAAACTCTTTTTCTTGATGAAAAATAATTATAAAACATTAATATTAAATAATGCAGGAATAATTTTAATTGGCAAAAAAATACTTAAAAATCATTTTCATATAATAATAATTTTCTATTGAATGGAGAAAGATTTTTATTTTTTTTAAATTTAAATAGAATTTTCTTTCATTACATTTACATTCAGAAAAAAGATATGTTTGAACCAAATGTACCATTTTTTTATATTTACCCAATTTTTTGGTTAGTTCAAAAAAAAATTTGTTTAATTCAAATAAATATTTATTTGATCTAAATAACTGTTTGGTTTATTTTAATAAATTTTTTGAACAAAGAAAAAATTTGATTGAGCTAAATAAACGTTTGGTTTATGCAACCAAATGTTTGGTTAACTGTATTTCAATGTATTTATTTTGTATGATTTAACCAAAATTTGGTTGCTTCAAACGAATTTTTTTCTAAGTGTAGAAAGTCACTGGGAATTATAAAAAATTTAATTTGTATAATTTTTTTCTGCAACATTTAATTTGTACATATAAATTTTTTTTGCCAAAATTAGTAAAATTCATCAAAACGATAGAAATTTTGTATTATGACAAAAGTACTTTATGTTAAATATAATTATATTAAAAACATAATTTTAAATAATAAATCGATATTATTTATTAAATATTATTTTTAATAATTAAGTAAATGCTTGAAAAATAAAATTTCAATAATTTTATACGTGATTAATTTAAATATTCACTTTAGGGAATATATATATATATATATATATATATATAAATATATTGAGAGCATATATATATATATATATAATTAGCATTTTTTTAAGTTTTTAATGAGAAGATAAAAATGTCCATTAGATGGAACTATAAAATCACTTAAGAAAATTGAATATTACATAAAATGCTTTTTAGATTTTATAAAATATTTTACGAAATATATTATATTAAAAAATCAAAATCAAAATAAATTAAATAATCATAATAATAACAACAATAAAATAATAGTAATAATAATATTTAGTTAAATATTTCGAATTGTGTTATGAATTTAATAATAATTAAATTAAAACGAAACATTTTGTCAAATTATTTAATTATTTCAAATAAATAAAGTATGAGATAATAAAATATGTTAAAAAATTTTAATTAATTAACATAAATTTTTAAATTCAATTAAATTTTTGTCTAATGTTTCAAAAGAAAAAAAAAAAAAAAACTATAAAATTGTCTTTGACTTTTGCACACGTATTGAAATAAACTATACTGACCTCATAAATTATTTATTAATGTGAGTCAATGAATAAGTTTATATTTACTAAATTAACGATTATGTATCTAATTAAAAATTTTTTTTTATTCAAAGTGTGATAAACAATTTTGGTGGAAACTTCTTTTATATATATATATACTTAACTCAATCTAATCCAAAAATTTCTGATAATTTAAAGGCACTTAATCTGCTCAATGACATTTATTATTTCGAAAGTAACTCGCCTCTTATCTCTAATCTTTGAATAGTTCAACGTTTAACACCGTTTTAAGAAAAAGAGAATTTTTCACGATCGTTTAATGATTAAAATTTATTTATGCATATTCATTTATTTAATTAATACATAGACAGAAAAATTATTCCTCTACATTTAAGATTATTCAGCGAAAATATTTTTATGATACAGGAAAAAAGGAGTTTTATTAGTTGCTTATAGTCAAATTCAGAAAAATGTAATTTCATATTGAGAGGAAAATTTTTTTATTTGACTTCTTAAATTCTCCTCTCAAAACAAGAATAATCTTCTTTAAAGTAGAAAATATTATTATTATTATTATTATTATTATTATTATTTAAAATTTTTAAATAACAAATATGTTAGTTTTCTTCTTCGATTAAATTTCCGTTTAGTGTTGAGAGGATGTAATTAAAGATATTTTTTGAAAATATTCTATATTCTTTTTTTTCAGTAATATCCTCTTAAATAGAGAAAAAAAATGTATTAAAAACAATTGTAATAATGTTCCTCTCAAAATGAGAAGATATTTATTTTCTTATTTTCAGAGCAATAATAATAATAATAATAATAATAATAATAATAATAATAATAAATAATAATAAATATAATAATAATAATAAGAAAAGATATATAAAAATGAGAGGAATATTTTGTAAATTTAGAGTTAAATGAATTGCAAATATTTCTTGAATTACGGATTTAAAAATTAAATGTTAATTACTTTTTAAAGAACATTTTTATTATTATTATTATTATTATTATTATTATTCAAAGTTTGTTTTTCAATATGTGTAAAAAATTTTTGACGAAATTTTTGAACAAAATTTTCATTTAAAAGTTCTTGACCTTTTGAATTTTGATTAAAAATTATCAGTCGTATTGTGCAATAAAATTTACATAAAAAAAAACTTGTTACGCGCTTTCATTGATATATTTTTTTTTATATAGAAGAATTATGACACCACATTCCATTTCGATAATTTATTTTTTTTATGAGGGAAAAAATTAAAAATAATATATATATATATATAAATATAAAGTAAAAGTATTTAAGAAATTGAAATTTCACATGAAATATTCGCCAAAGAACTTAATTTCCAACTATTATAAACCTGTTTGGGAACTTCAAACTTGAACTCAGACATCAGGAACAAGTTTCCGATAATAAAACAACTAAAATATAAAATTTGTATAAATTTTTTTTGTATATTTTTAGTTGAAATAAACAAAAAAAAATCATTATTTTGCAATAAAAATAATTTTATTCATAATATATATTAAAATTGCAAAAAAAAGTCTGTATTTTAGTAATTAAAAAGAATAATTTCTTAAAAAAAAAATTGAGAATATAGAAAATATCACAAAACCTATTGTATTAATTTTTAAAAAATATTTTTTTAATTGAAAAACATAATGAATTTTTTTGTTAATAACATAACTAAGTCATTAAAATTTAATAATTAAAATTAAAAAAAAATTTTTTTTTTTTTCAATTATTTACCTTTAATTAAGAAAATCCCGTTTTATCACGGTTCTGCAATTGGTTGTCAATCCACAATTTTGTTGTTAAATTTTTGACAATTATTAAAGACAAAAAAAAAAAAAACAAAATTCAATATAAAAAATTGTATGTTACACGATAAGTTTAACGTTAAAACGACACACACGACTGTCTCATATATTCTCAGAGTTTCACGAGCAACTGCCAAAGCGCCTACACTTGACGATAGTGAAACATTCGCTCGATTAGAGACGTGCCCCCAAACATACAGTCGCTCTCTTGCTTTAATTATATGTATAGATATATATACATATATACGAATGACGATATTCGTTTTTCAATTCTACTTGCGCTTTCATTCACCAATACAAATCTAGACGATTGTTTATCATTACGCCACATTACAAATATACATGAATCTGAACACGTGGATTTCAAGCACGAGGGATCTCACGCATGGCATGTATCATTTTTCTAAAAAAAAAAAAGTAGCTTCAGATTTCTACTAGAAAAAAAAAATTTCAGATTCTTTCAATTACAACATAAATGAACGAGTATTTTTTTCAACTTTATATTTAATATCAAAATTAGATTAAAAAAAAAAAAAAAAATTAGACCACATGCACATTAAAAAATAATCTCAAATTGAGAGGAAAATTCCACTTTTGATAGTTTTTCTCCCATAATTGACAAAAAAAAAGAATAAGAAAGATTGAAAATATTTAAAATGCTTATTATACGAAAAAATATACTGTACAATGATGTAAATAAACTAATCTCAAATTGAGAGGAAAATTCCACTATTGCTGTTTTTTTCTCTAGAAGGTGAAACTTTTTAAAGAGTGAAAAAAGATTAAAACTATTTAATGTGTCTATTATATGAAAAATTACACTACCAGTACACAAAAAAATAATCTCAAATTAAAAGGAAAATTCTACTTTTGATGGTTTTCCTCTAGAAAGTGAAATTAAAAAAAAAAGAGTGAAAAAAGATTAAAAATACTTCATATATGTCTATTATACGAAAAATTATCCCACAAAGACATAAATATGCTATAATCTCAAATTGAGAGGAAAATTCCATTTTTGCTGCTTTTCCTCTCGAAAGTATAATTAAAAAAAGAGTAAAAAAAATTAAAAATATTTAATATGTCTATTATATGAAAAATTAAATCACAAGCACTTAAAAAACTAATCTAAAATTGAGAGGAAAAATTCACTTTTTGATAGTTTTTCCTCTCAAAAGTGAAAATTAAAAAAAAAGTATGAAAAAAATTGAAAATGTTTAATATGCCTTATATTATATAAAAAATTACACTACAGTGACAAAAATAATGTAATCTTATATTGAGAGGAAAAATCCTCGATTGATAGCTTTTCAATTTATTTTTTATATGGAAATAAAAATATTCTTATTAAATATAACCAAGAAAAAAAAACTTTATTCATTCAATTATAATAGAAGATTTTATTCTTATTTTTACTGAAAAAAATTGTACTCTAAATTTAAGAACATAATCTTAATTTATAAAAGTATTCTAAACGTTAGAGTAAAATAAATGAATATTATTTTATATTCTAATTGTAAGAAAAAAATATATTATTCTTATAGTTAGAATGTAATATTCTTAAAATAAGAAAAGATTTCGAATTAAGAAATCTTCTTATTTTAAGAATATCATTTTTTTGCAAGATTTAATTATAAGAAAGTAAGAAAAATAATTAAAAATTTAGAACTAATATATTTAATTATATGAAAAATTACACTATAAGCACATAGGAAAAAATAATCTCCAATTAAGAGGATATAACCCCTTTCGATAGTTTTAGTCTCTCGAAAGAAAAATTAAAAAAAAAAAATATAGTGGAAAATATTTAATATGCCTATTTTATGAAAATTTGCACCACAAAGACATAAATAAAGTAATCTTATATTGAGAGGAAAACTCTATTTGATAGAATTTCACTTTACTTTCTATAGAAATTAAAATATTTACAAAATATTACAAATAATATATTTTTTAAATAATATATTTATTATTTAAAAAATATATTATTTGTAATCTTTATTCCAGCGGCCGATTACTCTCAATTGTAAACAAATATTCTTTATTGAAGAGGAAAATATTAATAGTATATTTTTTTCTTTTAAAAACAAAGAATTAATATAATAATTAAGTAATTCATAATTAATTCTTAGTACAGTTAAGAATTCTTATAAGTAATAAAGATACTCTTAATTGAAGAGGAAAATATTATAGTTTATTTTTTTCCTTTAAAAGCAAAGAATTAATATTGATTATGTTATTCGTAATTAATTCTTATTTCAAATTAAGAATCCTCGAAGTAATAAAGAAACTCTCAATTGGAGAGAAAAATATTGAAGTACACCTGCTTTTATTATATTTTCTTTAAAACAAAAAATAAAATCAAAATCTTTCGTCAAATAATAATTTTTTTTCTTTCAGATCAGACAAAAATAGCAATTTTTATCCTCTTTTTATAAACGCAAAACATTCTCTGTGCAGTAGCAATTATTTTAAAATTATTAAAAGTATGATATTATCAAATTATTTAATAAAAATTTGTTTTAAAAATTATTATCATTAAGGGTATGTAGGCAAAGGACGTTTTTTTGTGGTTTGAAACTTTCTCTGAAATAAAAAATGATTTCTGGTTAACATTTTGGCTCGCATTTTGGAGAAATGATTTTAGTTTGGTACAAGGAATCTCGCTTTTCTACTCATTTCATATAACTTAACGCAAAAATAATAAAAATAAAGCAATAAATAGTAAAATAATGTGTTTTATCATAGTTCATTCAGCGGCCACTCGCTCGAATTGGCGCTGTTTACTGGAGCACTGACACACTCAAGCAACGTCTATGTATGCGCCGCCATGTTTGTTTTCATTTTCGTTTAAAAATTACACTTTTTAAACTTCATTTTTTAATAATTTAACGCAAAATTATGTATTTTTCGGAGAACAGCGAGATTCCTTGTACCCAGATCTATCATTTCTCAAAATTTTAGACAAAAATCTTTTGTCGTTTTAGAGTAAGATGTATACTTCCAAAACACATTTTCCCATACTAGGTCACGTGGGAGGTTCCCACATACCCTTAAATCGTCGATTGAGGGCAGAAACACGTCAATTCAGGCGAATGTTGAGAAACATGACAATCTAAAAAATATTAGGGAAACCTGCCATTCCAGTGAAGATTTCAAAAACATGCCATCTCAGATGTCAAATTTTTGTTGATTGTTTTAGGTTGGTAACACTGTAAACGAAAAATAATTGATGAGTCAAAATAATTAATCTTTTGTTGAATATTGATGGTTAAGTCGGTAGAACCTTCAATAATTTTATTATTAATAATTATACTTTTCTTAATTTTTAATATTGGTTTTAAGAATAAAATTTTGTTAACTATAATATAACATTCTCAAGAAAGTGTTACCAACCTAAAACAATCAACAAAAATTTGACATCTGAGATGGCATGTTTTTGAAATCTTCACTGAAATGGCAGGTTTCCCTAATATTTTTTAGATTGTCATGTTTCTCAACATTCGCCTGAATTGGCGTGTTTCTGCCCTCAATCGACGAAATAATTATTGAATGAAAATAATTTGTTTTGTTTATAATTAAAAAAAAACTTTTGTTTAATAACTGTTAAAAAATGACAATTTTTGAGAATGTTTTAATTTGTAAAATAAACTATTATTTAAAACAAAATAGATTGAAAATTGCGATTTTTGTTAGCTAAAAGAAAAAAATTAAGGTTATGTTAAGGTCACCACTGTTCATAAAAAAATGCAGAAAAATAAGTAGCGTATTGCATTTTCCTCTGCAATTAAAAATTTTCCAATTAACGTTAGGTAATATTAGGTCTTAACCTTATTTTTAATATGGTAGTATGGAAAATTTTAATTATTTTCCAATTATTTAATTGAAATTTTAAAATTACATATAAAATCAATCCCAGGTAACTTTAAATTAAAAATTTTGTAAACTCTTTCTTTAATTTTTGATGAGTATTGGCAATCGTTGCTATACCTCCATGAAGTTGGCGTCGACGCTCAGCGTGGAAAATTATTTTTCATGGGTTACAAAATATTAAAACATTTTTTAAAAAGGTTTTGGGTCCACACAATGCTTTGAGAAGTATTTTTCAAGGTATTATTTGAATTAAAAAATTTAAAAAAAAATAATTTAAATTTTTTGATTCTGTGAAAAACAATTTTTGGCGCTGAGCGTCGAAGCCAACTTCAGGGAGGTGTTGCTATGGCAATTGTTACCATATCAACCGTTGCTGTATAGTGATAGTTACCAGGTACTAACCATCGCCATATAGTAACTGTCACCATAACAACCGTTGTCATTGCCAAATAACATTTTATAATTCTTTTAATATAAAAATTTAATTTTTAAAACCAAATATTTTATATCATTGTTAAACTTTTTTTTTAAAATACTCCTTACCTAATTAACATATATATATATGTAAAAAGAAAAATCTTTTGTAATCGTATTAGAAAATTTTTGAGTACCAAAAAAAATATCGGCAAGTAAATATTAGATTGTTTAAATTAAAAAAAAGAGTATATATCAAGAGAAAATGTTTGTTTAATTTATTTTCTTTTGATGATTCATTTATATTCATATATACTCCAGTTTACTGCTTATCTTAATTTTTTTGTTATCTTCTTCTTTACAGACATTGTCATTTTTCTGTCTTCGATCAAAAAAAGAAAAAAAAGATACTAGAAGTCTTAAATATTAATTAAATTATTTATTACATAAATTATAAATATAAACTATTAAATAATTAGTGTCTTCATATTTTTAATTAAAAAAAATTAATTGAAATGAAAGAAATTAAATTTTGTTTATTTTTAATTAAAATTTACCATAAATATTAATTAATAAATGAGGGAAAGTATTTTTATGCGATTTTTAAAATTTTTATAACAAATCTCAACCTACTTACACACAATATAATTTCTTGGAATTATTATTACATAATAAATTAATTTGTTTTCTTGTTCGTAATATTGTGAATCATATAATATATATGTCCATTAGTGTATCTAAATGAAAATCGTAATATAAACTGTGTTAAAAAAATTATCTCTAATTTATTTTTATATTCTTTGTACTTTTTACTCATTATAAAAACTAATTAATAAATTTAATATTAATAAATAATAATTAAAATCTTTTTATGTACAAGTTCAACATAAATATAAAGTTGTTAAATATTATAAAATTCAATTCAAAAATTCTTTGTATAATTAATAGATTTAAATGTGTTAATTATACATTTTTATATATAACATGTGAAACTTTATTAAATATTTCTGTAAAACAAGGCACTTGTTTATGTGATTGTATATATATTCGAAAACGCTTATTATAAAATAGATGGAAAAAATGAACTGTTAAGTAAACTATTAGTAATAATTGAGTATGTAAGTAAGTGTTTACAATGTCATATTCGTGTAAAATGACGGAAGATGAGATTATGCAATTTCACATTTCATAACAATGTATAAATTCGAGTACGTTATATGTGACGTTGTTGAATGATAAAACATTATAACGACATGTTTTGATTAGCGATAAGTGCAAGAGATGAACGATAAAATATGATATGTGCGTTATTCTGGCAACAAGTCGTCACCAAGTTCTTCATCTCCAAAGTCGTCATCTCGTTTACCAACGGCAGTCATCGGTCTCACAGGCAGTGCACCAATTGGATCCGAATAGTGTGAATCTCAAAAAAAAAATTTAATCGTTAATAATACACTCAGAGAAAAATGTTGGTTAAACCAAATTTTTTTTTATTAACACAATAGAGTTTAGTTAATTTAAACAAAACTTTTTTCATTAAAAAAATATTTATTTGTTATAAATAAACGTTTGATTTATTTCAATAAATTTTTCGAATGAGGAAAGAATTTGATTAAACTAAATAAAATTTTGGTCGAATCAACCAAAAGTTTGCTTAACTGCGTATATAGCGATGCATTTATTTGATTGATTTAAACAAACTTTTTTCTGAGTGTAATATGTGACGCTCCACAAGAAAGGTGACCTTATGATAAAGAAATTGTAGGTTATCTTTAGTGATAGTTTCACCTTCATAAAAAAATTTTAATTAGGTAAAATCAAAAATATAGTTTTTATTGAATTTTTCAAATATAATGAAGACTTAAACATTTAAAGTAAAAATTTCACTTCAAAAATCACTAAACCTAACCTAACATTTTTTTATCATATAAAGTCCGTTTTCTCATGTAGCGTCACATTATTTTGATTTGTAACCAAGTTTTATTATACATATCAATTTTTAAATTGATTTTTAATATATTTAAAAAATTACGACTTTCATTATCCCTATAACACCCAGGAAAAACAGAAAATTTATGAAGGATGTAGGCCCTAACATAACCTCAAAAGTGAAAATTGGTTTTTAACGCAAACAAAAATTTAATAGAAATTAATTTTAAACAATTTTTAGTAGACTAAATAAATAAATAATTAAAATATAAACAATATAAATTTTATTTAGTAAATAATTTTTAACATACTTTTAGTAACTGACAAAAGTTTACGATTGTTAAGAATGTTTTATTGTGTTTTGAGGTTATGTTGAAGCCTCCATCCTCCTTCTTATACACTGTAAAAATTTTTTTTTGGAGATTGTACATTCACAATTTGTATTTGTGTTAAAATTTGTAAAATTACTATAATCAATAAGGTTATATTACTACATTAAAAAAAGTACTTTTACAATTTTCTGTAAATTTACTACTTTCAAAGTGGGTTATAGGTGAAACATAATTAGTTGTTGCATCCGTCACCTATTACCCACTTTGGAAGTAGTAAATTTACAAAAAATTGTAAAGTGCTTTTTTTAATGTAGTAACATAACCTTATTGATTATAGTAATTTTACAAATTTTAACACAAATACAAATTGTGAATGTACAATCTCCAAAAAGATTTTTTACAGTGTAGTTTTTATGGTGGTGTATTACAAATTTCAAGTCAGTTTTTCAAAATTCAAAATGGCGGATCCAATATGGCGATAATTTTTAAAAATTTGTTACTCAAAGGTTTTCACGGTCGCTGAATACGCATTCGATGTCAGTTTTATAAAATTCAATATGGTGGATACAAAATGGCGATTGAAAATTTAAAAATGGTTTCCATTTGATTGAAACTTGTTTTTCGGGAGTTTTCGGGGTCGCTGATTACAAATCTGTTATTAAATTTTATAATTAATGACCTCGAAACTCTCAAATAACAAGTTTTAGGCGAATCGGATCAAATTAAAATTATTTTTTCCCTATATTGAATCCGTCATAATGAATTTTGAAAAACCAACATCGAATTCATAATCAATAACCTCGAAAACTCGTAAGTAACAAGTTTCAAGTAAATCCAATAAATTTTAAAAAAAAATTTCCGCCATATTTGATCCGCCATATTGAATTTTGAAAAACCAACATCAGATTAATCAATAACCTCAAAAACCCGTAAGTAACAAGTTTCAAGTAAATGCAATAAATTTCAAAACAAATTTCTGCCATATTGGATCCGCCATATTGAATTTTGAAAAACCAACATCGGATTATCGTAATAAACGACCCCGAAAATCCTTCGACAACAAAAGAGATCTGCGAGAGTTGATTTTCTAATTTTTGCAATATTATATTTATAATATATATTGAAAAAAAATGAGAAAGTTTATTTAAAAAATATTTATGGTTGTTATTTTTATCTACAAAAAAAAATAACAAAGCGGAACATTTTTGAACCCCACATTTTTGAAAAGATTGGATAGAAAATTCTTCCGCTAGCGGATCAATGAAAAGATAAATGATATACCAGAATAACCTGCGAGTCAGATACATTTTTCATCCATCATGCGTTCAATTCATTAAGCTAGTGCATGCAATTTGCATGCATCACCAAGTTTATGTTCACATACAAAAATAAACACACTTCATGTATTTTCTTTTTAAAAGAATAATTACAATTTTTCATGACAAACAATGTTTTAATTTTTCCTTTTTTTTTTTAGAAAAAGTACAAAAAAAATCAAATACTTATCAATTTATTTTAATATTTTATAAAACTGTAAAAAAATTTTATAAAGATCCTATAAAATTATTGTTAAAAAATTCAAATTTATTTCTAAATTTTAAATTCAGGAAATATGTATATATACTTTATTATTGAAAATAATTTTCAAGTAAAGAAATAGTTTTTCGTTTTTCTTTTGTATTTTATTTACTTTTAATCAGCTGTTTTGGCTGCGCGCGACGTTTCTTATATTGCAGTCAATGATACCAACATGATGCGTTTACTAAATATGGTTAACCTCACTTTGCAGAATTATGTTGGTATCACTGACTGGAAAATAAAAAAAATTCGCGCGCAGCCATAACAGCCATAAGCTGATTAAAATAATTCAAAATAACAAAAATCAAAAAACAATTTCTTACATTTTGTGAAACTTAACGCCGTAAGCACCCGAACTTTTACTCTGATATGAAAAGCTGAAATAATAAGGAAAATTTTCAACTTTATGCCACTTGATTTTGTGTAGTAGTTCAAAAGTAAAATTTTTCAATGTTTATTGTTGTATCTTTCAAATAAACAATTGTTTTTAATAAAAAAAAATTGTATTTAAATTGGTGTGGTTACTATACGAAAAGTGATTAAGTGATTAAAAAAAGCTCCTAGAGTGGCACTAATAAATTGGAAAATCACTCGATTCGAAATGTAAATTAAAATATCAGTTACGCTTGCATAAGAGATGATATGACGTACTCATAATATATTATTTAATTTCGTGCTTTTCTTTCGACATATATTATAAATTATAAATGAGCAAATGAAAGCGAAAAATGTTTAATGAAAATATGATTAGAATGACATGTACTATCTACACTTTTGATGATAAGAAATTTCTTCACTTATATGTAAATAATGCCGGCAGCATATAATTTTCTGGATGCAACTGGTTTTAAAGAACAGTGCGATGATAAAAAAGAAAAAGAAAAGAAATAGTTATAAGAAATAAAAAATACTCACTCATATGTGTATTTGAATTAATATTAATTGGTTTATTAATTCCTGCACTATTTATTCTATGATCACCACGACTTAATGCAGGACTTGCTCGATGTTCTGATAATGTACTCATTCCGGAACCTCCTCTCGAAGAATTTCCACTGTTACTCCGCTTAGAACCTATTATAACAAAAAAAAATTATTTTTCCTCTTTACATTCATTGATTTTTAATGTTGCTGAAACTGGCATCTGAATAATTTTTGACCTGCTTAATGGATGTAGTTTTGATGTTATTGCTAACACAATTTTTTTTTATTAATCCTAATAATTGGGTGGAAATGTCGCTCGGTTATACTTTATAGTTCTGATAGGATCTTTTTTCCTGACTTTGTGAGAAAAGATAAATGTAACGATTCACTATACTAATTTTGTTTTATCTATTTTTATTGAATGATAAGACTGTTGGACTAGACACAGGGAAGTTGGCGCCTTTGTATATTATCAGTTGAGGTAAAAAAATAAATATACCCACCCGAGAGCGTTGGACAAAAAAAGCTGCAATTAACTATACCAATAAAAAAAATCGACAGGAATCGATTAGAATCGATTAATCCATTTCAGAATTATCATTGCATTTGATTTATTCAATTGGGTTTAATTATGATTTTTAAAATGGGTTGAATCAATTTAAGATTTTATCAGTTTCTATCGACTATTTTTTAGTATATTCCACAGTTGGTAAAAGAACGCCTAATGTTCCAATGACGTTCCTAAATCGTTTTTAGAACCTACACGTCTATTAAAATAGATTCTAAGGACGTTTAATGTTCCGAAAACGTTTGGCGAACATATGAAACATTTTCAGAACGCTATTTGAGGGGACATTAATTTCTAAAAAAAATTATGAGAAAGTTATTTGGAACATAGAACGTTTTGTGCCCACTGGATTATCAGAAATTGTAAACTGTTGTTATAATTCCCCAATAGACCCTAATTAATTTTAATTCTGGTCTAGTGAAGTAAGTATGGAACTATAGCTCAAATAAAACGTATTGCATAGATTCTTCTTCTTGTAGATGAAAAGCAAAATTATGTTTCACTGTTGGTTTAGTAGCATTTGTGTTTAGTCAATCCGACAAAATTATATGTTAAATGTCACTATCTGTTTAGTCTCCCAAAAATTAACGAATCTGTTTAATAGATTCTACTCTCATGACAATAGGATCTATTATGCCTTTCTCTTCATGTAGAACTTATCTATTGAGGATGCTGTAATCGTCAACCAGAGAGACCTTCAGTTGCAGTTAGTATACCCTCTTCTTAAATTTCTAAATGATTAATAGTACGTGATTACGAACTCCCATACTCGTCAAAATCATTATCAAAATCAGTAACACCAGCATCATCAGCATCGTATAAATGGATATTATTAACTAAGGCATGGTAAAATTTCCGGATTGTTTCCGGCTTAATCTGGAATTAGTCCGAAACAGTCCGGTTTATTGTCAGCTTTCTGTCATCCGAAAATTAGTCCTGCTAAATTCGAAATTTTTCCGATTATTGCAACTAGTCAATCCGGAATTAATCAGGTCTAATCCGAAGTCAGTTCGATCAAACGTAACTACTGAAAGTAGATTCTAGATTTACTGATTACATTCGCCGGATTAATTTCGGATTCAATAGAAGTAATTTTGCATTTATTAGTTGTGTATGATCCGATTAAATTCGGATTAGACCGGATTAACAAGTCACACAAATAATACTAATTTCGGACTTCACCGGACTAATTCCGGATAATAGAAACCAGACTCTAAAGCGGACTGTTTCAAATTAATTCCACATTCCGAAATATTAGCCAAAGTAGTGGCTATTGGTCAGAAGGCAACATGTCTTTTACGCTGACAGTAAACAGTTCATATAGAACTTGAGACTCATCTCAACTGTGAGAGAACTGCACCTGGCGACATGAGTAGGAACTGTAATAAAAGCAGCAAAACCTAACTAAATCCAAATTGTTGCGGACTAATTGCGGATTTAATACATACAGAATGTCGGATTATACCAGACGCATTTCGGATTCAGATTTTTAAACAGACTGAATCTATCTAGATTGTACAAAAACAGTCCGAAAATAATATGAAATACACCAAAATTAGTGTGGACAAAAAGACAAAAATTATGAGATAAGTCCCAAGTAGTCCGAAACTCATACGAAATCAGTCCATTACAATTCGATTCTAGGTCGATAAAAAAACTTACCCTAAAATGAGTCCGGAATAATCCGTTCTTAATGTGGTATAACATCTTAATTCAAAATGTGTCCGAAAAACTACGGAATTTATATGTACAAAATTATCATTGTAGTGGACTAATACCAGATTTTTTACAAACAGATTTTCAATTAAGATTTTAGACCTTTATAAATCCGGATTCGTTACACACAGATTGCCGACTAATTCGGACTCCTTTCTAATTAAGATTTTTTTCAGACTTCGACTGCTGATTTTGTACATATTAATTCCGAATTTTTCCAGACTCATTTCGGAATAGGATTATTTACCAGATTCAATCATAGGATTATTGTGGACTAATACCGGATTTTCCATATAAAGATTTCAGATTATTACGGCCTCATGTTGGATTCAGTTTTTCGACAGTACTTAATCCGGATTGTTGCGTACTGTTTGCGGATAGTTTACATAAAAATTCTGTATTATTCTGAACTCATTTTAGATTGTTTTTTGATCTAACTAAAATCAAATTGTTGCAAGCTAATTGCGGATTTATTTCATGTCAATTTCGGACTATTCAGGACTGATCTCGGATTTATCTTTTCATCCAAACAGATTGCTGACTAATACAGATCATTTTGGAATTGTTTTCGTACAATTTATGAATATTCCGGATTGATATGTCTATATTTAATCTAAAATCAGTCCGAAATTTTAACCAGGGAGGACTATTACTGAATGATTGTCAGGGAGATTAGTACTAAAAACTATTACTGAACATGCAATGATTGTTTAAATTAACAAAATGATGATCATTTAAATTTTAATACTATCAGCGTAAATATTAGAATTGATTATATCACCAACGTAACACTAAGGACAGAGTCTTACGACAGTGTGGCAAATAAAATAAGATGATAATAATTATAACCAATATCTATCAATAAAGGACAGACTTTGACACTGTGACCCGCTTATAAAAACTATAATAAATCAACTACTTAAACTATTTTCAAAATTAAAATTTACTTGTTGTTCCAGGTCTTCCAGATCCATGTCGTTCTTTAACTTCTTTTGCTCTCTCAACTTTCTTCAATTCAGTTGCATACATGTGAGCTTCCTTCAATCCTAAATCGCTACAAAGACGCACTAAAAATTTTAAACATTCGATATTATCTGGAAAAAGTTTGTGTATATTTTGATATTCCTCAAGAGCTTTATGAAATTGTCCAGTTCTTCTTAAACATGCAGCGACAAGTAATCTCCAACGTGGCTCATCAGGTGCAAGTTCAATGGCTCTTTCAAAATATATCATTGCCTTTTCAGCCACCTGTTGAAAATCAATTCATAAAATTAGGAAAGTAATTTATATAATTTAATTCCATATACAGTTTAGGTTACACTAGTTGAAGACAATACCTGCATTGAGATAAAATAGGAACCAAGCCAATCGATAACTTCGAAATTAGCAGGATAATATCTGTAAGACTATTAAAAATCTTTATTGATGCTTGTAAATGTTCATTTTTAAGTAATTTAACTCACGTCACTGTAAAATTGATATGCCTGTTGTTTATCTTCAATTGTATCGTACATTTCTCCTAACTTTTGTAAAACTCCCGGATCAGATGGAATAATACCTAACAATTGATTATACCTACAAGAAATAAAAATTGCTAATTTTCTAGATAATAAAATTTATTCGAAAATAATGATTATTCAAATGAAGATGGAAAATACTGGTACGAAGAGGAGAAATTTTAATTAGAGTTCAAGATAATTAAAGATCAATTTAAATTTTATTAATTACCATTCCGCTGCTTGGTCCACATCACTCATCAACTGATACAAATGACCTATTTGATAGAGCGTTTGTGGATCATAGTGCACAATGGTCCTTAACTTCCAAAAGCATTCTAGTGCCTCTTCAAACATACTTTGCTTTTTGTAGACTAAACCTATTAAGATAATTAATAATAATTATTCATTATTAAATGATATGAATATAAGAAATTCTTTATAAACTTGAAAAATGTGTCATTTCTCCTTTGTACCGAGATTATAGAGTGCCTGTACATGACTTGCATCAGTGTCTAAAGCACACAATAATAATTCACGAGCTCGTTCAAGTTCGCCTTTCTTTATCGCACATGCCGAAAGATTAACATAAGCCGCTGCATTATAACTATCTGCTTTACGAGCTGCTTCACCACATTTTTCTGCTTGATCATAATCTCCCTGCTGAAATATTAAATGAGTTTAAAAAAAAATTATATACAAGACACAAATATTTATCATTATTGTAATATTTTGTAGCAAGTTAAAGATTTAATTTGTAAATACTTATGTGCATAATTGTACAAACAAAACGGAGAGAAGGTAATTTACCTTAACGTCAAAATCAAATTATTTAGGTAGAAAAATATTCTTACTAGAAAGTAGACAAATGAGAGCATAGTTGACGCTGAACTAACAACTTTAGAATCACGATTCTCAAAAACCTTCAACGCATCAATAGCCAATTGGGTTTCTCGATTGTGTAAAAATACCATTGCTTTATTAATTTCCAAATCTGCAGCAAGTGTACTGTATGATGAAGATTTAATAGCGTCCACACACCTGTTGAAATGAATAGGAAAATGAATATTAATTTGTACAAAGATCACTTATTGTAGTAACCGTTCGAGTACTTCTAATGTTATAAGTTTTAAAGTACTATTTTTTATTTTTAAAATACCTTTGTTAATACTGATCTTTTAAATCCAATGCTTGGAATTAAGTAACAGTTGGTTTATAAAATAAAAATTAAGCAAATAATTTAACTCAGTTTGTGCTTAGAATAGATAACGCAAAATTTTTAATTTCAGTTTAAACTTTTCGGTTATAAAACCGAGTAAATGTCTGCGATGTTTCTGTCTATCCTGCTGTTTTTTTTAATAAGGTTAATTGAAACACCTTTATTTTTTGCTGTAAACATAGCCGCATGTTATGCCGAAAAAATTGATTTGTCGAGGCTACTTAATTCAAGAACTTTTTTGCTCCATCTACTTAGAGACTGCTGTATTAAATACAGACAGATCAGGCTGAATTAATTTAGAAATTGTACGAAAACAATTCCAAAATGATCCGTATTAGTCAGCAATCTGTTTGGATGAAAAGATAAATCCGAGATCAGTCCTGAATAGTCCGAAATTGACATGAAATAAATCCGCAATTAGCTTGCAACAATTTGATTTTAGTTAGATCAAAAAACAATCTAAAATGAGTTCAGAATAATACAGAATTTTTATGTAAACTATCCGCAAACAGTACGCAACAATCCGGATTAAGTACTGTCGAAAAACTGAATCCAACATGAGACCATAATAATCTGAAATCTTTATATGGAAAATCCGGTATTAGTCCACAATAATCCTATGATTGAATCTGGTAAATAATCCTATTCCGAAATGAGTCTGGAAAAATTCGGAATTAATATGTACAAAATCAGCAGTCGAAGTCTGAACAAAAATCTTAATTAGAAAGGAGTCCGAATTAGTCGGCAATCTGTGTGTAACGAATCCGGATTTAGAAAGGTCTAAAATCTTAATTGAAAATCTGTTTGTACAAAATCTGGTATTAGTCCACTACAATGATAATTTTGTACATATAAATTCCGTAGTTTTTCGGACTCATTACGAATTAAGATGTTATACCAAATTAAGACCGGATTGTTGCTAATACAAAATTTTTAACATACAAACACCGGATTATTCCAGACTAATTTAAGGTTAAGTTTTTTGATCGACCTAGCATCGAATTGTAATGGACTGATTTCGTATGAGTTTCGGACTACTTGGGACTTATCTCATAATTTTTGTCTTTTTGTCCTTACTAATTTCGGTGTATTTCATAGTATTTTCGGACTGTTTTTGTACAATCTAGATAGATTCAGTCTGTTTAAAAATCTGAATCCAAAATGCGTCTGGTATAATCCGACATTCTGCGTATGTATTAAATCCGCAATTAGTCCGCAACAATTTGGACTTTGTTAGGTTTTGCTGCTTTTATTACAGTTCCTACTCATGTCGCCAGGTGCAGTTCTCTCACAGTTGAGATGAGTCTCAAGTTCTATATGATCTGTTCACTGTCAGCGTAAAAGACATGTTGCCTTCTGACCAATACCCACTACTTTGTCTAATATTTCGGAATGTGGAATTAATCTGAAACAGTCCGCTTTAGAGTTCATACACAACTAATAAATGCAAAATTACTTCTATTGAATCCGAAATTAATCCGGCCTGTGTAATCAGTAAATCTAGAATCTACATTCAGTAGTTACGTTTAATCGAACTGACTTCGAATTAGACCAGATTAATTTCGGATTTATTAGTTGTACAAATCGAGCAAATTTCGGATTTAGCCGGACTAATTCCGGATGAAAAAACCTCACAATAAAACGGATTTTTTTGGTACTAATTCCAGATTAGTTCGGTAACAGTCCGGAATTTTTACCAGGGTCGTGAATACTGGTCAGATGATGAAGAATCATGATCAGTATAAACAATCGGAATGTAGTTTGAAATGACAAACGAAAGTATTTTAAAAATCAAGAATAATCCTTTAAAACTTGTTACATTAAGAGAACTGGGACGGGTATTACAATAAGTGTTATGAAAGAGGTGGCACGAAGTACAATTAATTATTAAAAAAAAATAATAATACGGTTGTTGCATTATTACACATAAAAAGTAATACCATGCATATCCAGCAGTAAGCGTATCTTCAATTACAGGAGCTATGAGATTAGCAGCATTAAGAATTGTTTTTTCAGCCTCAAATTTTAATTCCCGTTCAAGTTTCGATAAATCATCGTTTTTAATCATTTCATTTAATAAATTCGCAGCAATATCGTCCTAAAATATATAAAAATTCATCTTATTTTAATAGATAGTTGAAGTAAACATAACTAATAATTTATTTTATTGATTTCAACAAACTCACTGTACTCATACTGTATTTGTCTTCTTCATCTATATTCAGTTGAACTTCTAGTAATTCTAAAAAACCCCTTTTCATTTTATCACGATGAGATAATGCATAATGACATAAAACTGCATGCAAACCAGCTCTAAATTCAGGCCTCTCCCTCATAACCCATTCAAAACTGTTAGCTGCTTCTTCTAATCGACCCATTTGTACAAATAGCATTCCAATATTATGCATTATTTTAATTCTGTGAAATAATTTTTAAATTATTCTCTTGGCAGTTATGTACGTTTTTTCGTGATTGATGTTGATGATAATAATTTATGTGAATCTATTCCTCCACAGCACCGAAACTTTCCTAAAGATTTATTTGAAATGTTCGGAATATTTCAAATAAATCTTTAGGAAAATTTCGGTGCTGTGGGGGTTGTTAATTTTGTTAGTTGCATTGCAGTTTTAAATCCCCAATGTGGTTACAAATATTGAATACAATTCGTTCGTTAATTATTTACCTTAAATCTTTATACGCTGTTGGAGCCTGATCCAAGGCCATTCGATACATTTTAATCGCCTGTGGTAATTGACCCATTTTAAAATAAATATTCCCCATATTAACTTTCAGTCTTGCGCTATTGCTGAACATTTTATTTCTCGTTATTGCTTGATAAGTTGCTACAGCTTCTGTATATAATTCATTATTTGCATATTGACTTGCTAAATTGAAAAGTACCTGAAAATAGTATTGAATCGTTAATTAAACCTAATTGTAAGGATAAAATTTTAGTAAATAAAACTATCATTCTGTAAGTTGTACAATAAACTTTTTCTACGTTTTAGTATCATAGAAACAATATATAAATAGAATAGGTTATGCCCCGCTTTAACTATTCGCTCGATAAAAAAGGAAAGAAAATAAAACCAATCTTTGTCTCTTTTTATTCACGCATGCGCGATAGCTAAGAAACTGCATCATGAAGTGTCACGACAATTTTTGATTGGTACAGAACTATGCGCTTGCGCACTGGCTCAGTTTAGAAGTAGAGGACAGATTGTGGTTTTAGATTTTACCTTTCTCTTTCTTACGGCGACCTATACGGTTTAGTATCAGTTAAAATTGAATTCTAATTTTAATAGAAAAATTTTGCTAACTGATTTTAAAGATTTATACATTAATACAAATTCTTTGTGCGGTAAAAAATAATATTGTAAATATCCATTTAATATGTAGGAATAATTTACCGCAAATGTCAAATCTAAATTGTGATTGTCACTAAGTCCTGCTTGCTCTTGCAGTCTTATAAGAGATCGTTCTCTTGCTGAAGCTTCTCTAGCTCTCTCGAGTGCAACAGACATATTGTTTTCGCATGCAGCTTCAGCAGAACTTTCTATTAGTTCCATTATTTTTCGTTCGGCAGTTTTGATTTTCTCTTCGGGCCTTTAAACGAAAACATGAAACAATATTATTAAAAATCAACAATTTTTAAAGTTTAATATAGTGATCTTTTCTTGAAAACATTCAGAGATCCAGGTTTGATTTTAAAAATGAATGTTGATTTTTGAAATGATTTAATAATTTAATGATTAAATGTGATTTCTTACGTATTTTCTTTGTCGGATTCGAGTGCAGGTGCTGGACCTCTGTTATTGCTTCCCATATTTAGAGGGTCAAAGGGTTGTCGTCCACTACTTGTATAACCAGCACCTCGAACTGCGGTCATAGGACGGGGTCCAGCAGTGTCCAAACGACCAGCTGTACCACCTCTGTGAAACTAATAAGTTGCAATTATTAAATTTTGAAACTAGAAAACTTGTTGCAAAACACTTTTTCAATAATTATTTTTTAAACAACATACTTAAAAAAAGGAGTTAGATTTTAAAGGAATTGCAGATTTTAACTTCTAATGGGAATTATATAAAAATTTTACCCTTTTGGAGTTGGAGCAAAGGCGCAGTTATTGTTTAAACAGTTAATGTTATTCCCACTTACGGAGTTAATGTTATAATTTACTTACTTTTGGAGTTGATTTTTAACTCTAAATATTTTACTCCAAATTTTAATCCCTACTACTTTTTATAATTTTTTTTTTAAATGAGCTAAAATTTTAGGAATTTGTTACTCTTATACAGAACAACAATTTATTAAATTATAAGGCCAATTCTATAATTTCAAATGTTTGGGTAGTTATTTTCTCAGAGAATGTCTCAAGAGCAATGTTACTTTAAAAACAGTATATGAGTAATTTAAATTTTAAAACTACCTCCTATCTAAATTTATACAATATTATGCTACATACACCAGATGCTGTTCCAAATCTCATAGCAGTCCCAGGAGGTTTAGGTGTCATCTGAAAAACAAAATAAAATATTTCAGTATTCACGAAAAGATTGTCAAAAAATGCATTTCAGTGATTCCTCCTCAAAAATATAGTCGATCTTTTAAATTCGGGTAAATATTTGTTTTTGTTCTTTGGAGAAAAAAAGAGGTTTACCTTTTTTTTATTATTTTTTCACATAAGAGATCAAAATTTCCGAGTTCTGAATTTTCAAAATTTTGGTTTTTTAATTGTAATTACCTATTTTGAATCTCATACAACACTAAAAGTATTGAATTTAAAATTGTTTTCCAAGCGAAGAAAATTTATAATTTTTCTTCGATATTTCAATAATGTTAACGAAAAAAAAAATTTTCACTAATTTTTTGTTTAAAAAAAAGAATTTTTTTTTATAAAATTTCTACATATAGACACTCTAAAACTTTTTTTCAAAATATTCTTCGTTTTTCCAGGTATTCATAAACCCCTTCGCAGTCCAGTTAAAAATCGCAGGTGGGCCTAAAATGGTCCGAAAAAAAAGTTTCCAAAAAAATATGACTTCATCATATTTAAGGTTATTGTGGTCGCTGAATTCGAATTTGAGGTCAGTTTTTCAAAATTCAAAATGGCGGATCCAATATGGCGGACAAATTTTTAAAAAATCAATCCAATTTGCCTGAAATTTGTTACTCGGGGGTTTTTGGGGTCGCTAAATTCAAATTTGAGGTCAGTTTTTCAAAATTCAAAATGGCGGATCCAATATGGCGGACAAATTTTTAAAAAATCAAACCGATTTGCCTGAAATTTGTTACTCAGGGGTTTTTGTGGTCGCTGAATTCGAATTTGAGGTCACTTTTTCTAAATTCAAAATGGCGGATCCAATATGGCGGACCAATTTTTAAAAAAAAAATTTTTTTAATTTGTCCGCCATATTGGATCCGCTATTTTGAATTTCAAAAAACCGACCTCAAATTCGAATTCAGCGACCACAAAAACCCCTGAGTAACAAATTTCAGACAAATCGGATTGATTTTTTAAAAATTTGTCCGCCATATTAAATCCGCCATTTTGAATTTTGAAAAACTGACCTCAAATTCGAATTCAGCGACTACGAAAACCCCCGAGTAACAATTTGTGGTCAAAACGCATTAATTTTTAAATTATTCGCCATATTGGGTTGCCATATTGGATCCGCCATTTTGAATTTTGAAAAACCGACCTCAGATTCGTAATCAGAGACCCCGAAAACCCCTGAGCAACGAGTTTCATGTAAATCTGATAAATTTTATGTTTTCATGGTCGCCATTTTGGGTCCGCCATTTTGATTTTTTTAAAATCTGACTTCAAATTTGGATTCAGCGACCCCAAAAACCCCCGAGTAACAAATTTTAGGCGAATCAAATTAAATTTAGTATTATTTTTTTGCGATGGCCATATATGGCCACTTGCACAAAGGAGGCACGACTTTTTCTGGCCACATATGGGCCCTGGACTGTCAAGGGGTTAAGAGTAAAATTTTTTTTAAAATGATCTAAATGAAAAATAAATAATTTGTTTATAAAAAATTTTTATTTTTAAAAAATAAAAATTACCAAAAATTTTGTTTTTTGTTAAAATTTTTCAAAAGTAGAAGAAAAAAAATGCAACATTCTTTTTTTCTCTTGTTGAATTAATTTTACATCCGTTATTTATTATATTGTTGATTAATTTTTACAAGTTCTTTAAACGGAAAACAGATGTTTAATTAATTTAAAAAATTAATACCTAATTATTCTTTTTTTTCTTTTCAAAAATTGTTTTAATTTCAATAAACTTTTTATCCTTTTTCCTATCAAAATATTTTACATTTTCATATATAAATACAATGCTTGACTTGTTACAAATTCTTAATATCCTCTTCCTATTTACGGTCAAAAAAAATTTTTAAATTTCAATCGAGTTTTTATGAATTAAACATCTTTGTTTTTTCTGAGCGAATGATTTAAGAAAACATCACAAAAAGAATAATTTGAATTTGAACAAAAACAATTTTAACATATAGGTAGGTATAAATATTTTTTAATCACTTTACTAGAAAATTTTTTTTTCCGTTATTTTTGCAATTGTGAGTATAAAAACTTTATAATTTTTGAATTTATACGGAACAATTATTTTTAGTTTAAAAAAAAAATTATAAAGGAGCGTTCACAAATGATGTCACGCTCTTTGGCGAGGGGGGGGGGTCTTCACCAAACGTGACAAAATGTGACATGGGAAGGGGGGGGGGTCAGCTTAAGTGTGACATCACTTTATTTTGCAGTGTAGAAAATTAATATTCAAACTATAATTCAAATTTTGTGCGCGTTTACTACAACTCGCACTTGAATATGCAATATATTTCTATCTCATTAGCGATATATATCGATAGATAAGATACGTGACTATATTCAGACATAAAAAAAAATACTACTACTGAAGATGCTGAATGGTTGGAAGAGAGCGATGTAGAATGTGATTCATAAAGTGATTCCGATTTAGAAACTCCAACTGAAGGAACTATTCCAGTTATAAGTTCCATAAAAAGTTGGGTTGTCAATCCTTGGACTACGAAAGATTATTAAAGCTTTGTTTTAAGGCCAGGTCCAAGTGAGGCAGCGCCATCTACATTGATATTAAAATTTTGGAAAATTTTCAACAGCCTTTTCTTGAAAACAAGAAGGTAAAATGCTTTTTCCTTTATGGATAATTGATTATTGGCAAGATATACACCAGCTAAAACTTTTTTTGAGTTAAAATAATAAAAAAAATTTCATGTCAATAAATTAAATATGAGCACTTTTTTCACAAAAACTGTAACAGTACTTTCTCAGAAATTACAATCAAAAATGCAATTTCCATTTGGAAAATTAATAAACGCTAAAATGTACACGACCTAAGATTTACCAATCACGAAAATAACAAAAAAAAATTTTATTAAATATTTAACATATTGATACTGCTTTCCTGATTGTGACAGCCCTTTGGTAGATTATGTATTTCAGGTGGTTAGCAACAGCGCCAATCTCCTCCTTTCGGCAAAACTGCGAAACGTCTGGTGACATACATAACCTGCCAAACGGCTGTCATAATGAGTAAAATATGTTATGTTAAAATACTTTTTTTTTGTTATTTTCGTGATTGGTAAATCTTAGGTCGTGTATTTTTTAGCGTTTATTAATTTTCCAAATGGAAATTGCATTTTTGATTGTAATTTCTGAGAAAGTACTGTTACAGTTTTTGTGAAAAAAGTGCTCATATTTAATTTATTGACATGAAATTTTTTTTATTATTTTAACTCAAAAAAAGTTTTAGCTGGTGTATATCTTGCCAATAATCAATTATCCATAAAGGAAAAAGCATTTTACCTTCTTGTGTTCAAGAAAAGGCTGTTGAAAATTTTCCAAAATTTTAGTTTCAATGTAGATGGCGCTGCCTCACTTGGACCTGGCCTTAAAAGCAAAAACAGAGGAATACAAATCTACCAAAAATAGCTATTAAAGACTAATTCCAAAATTAACGACAAAACATGCAATTAATAAGTATTGAAAAAAAATTATTAAATATGTTAAAAACTATTTATAATTTGTTATGAAAGTGCGTATTGAGATCTCAAAAAATTTAGCCTAATATTTTAAGAAAAAAATTGTTTAAAATGTAGTCTAATATAATATAAATGATATTGTATTTTCCGTTATCTACATGTTTTAATACAATATATTGATAAAATAGTATATTTCATAACGTGTGTGAAAATTTGCCGATTTTTGAATGAGCACTTTTTTTGGATTGCTTGTTCAATCGATTATAAATTGTACTAATTTTTTTTATTATTCCTGAAAAAATTAAAATATAAAATTAGCGGGGGGGGGGTTATGAAACGTGACATCCGTTTAGGGGGTAGGGGTTTACCGGTACGTGACAGGGGGGGAGGGGTAAAAAATCTGGAAAAAGTGCGTGACATCATTTGTGAACGCTCCCTAATCTGTTATTGTGATCTAAACCAAAATTATTAAATTATATTTTATGCGCACTTACGATAGATCTTTTGGCATAGCTGGTTTTAAGCGCTTCTTGAAGGACTTCATCCTGATCGAGATCTTTTGTACTGTACACTGAGGGATAATCATTATATCCAGAATAAATATCATCGTCAAAGGCTATTTGGTTCATTAATCTCGTTGCCATTTTTCTAGATTTGAAGCATCTCACTTCAGATTGTACAATTATTTTTCAAATTAATGCAATTCCCTGAAAATTATTATTAAATTAATAATTTAAAAAAAAAAATGTTTATTAAAAAAAAGGCGTAGTATAGAAATCTGGTCATCATACTACTAATCAATTTTAATGTGGGTAATTTAAAAAAAAAAGATAACGGTTCAAATGTAATTAAACGGCAGTTTTTTAAAAAATTGTATTTAAATTTTTTTTTCACTCTTAAACTGTCAATTAACAATTTTTTTAAAATAATGTTCGAGGTATTTGAAAATAGTTACATTATTTTTGTCACATTTTGTACTTTTATTCTAATAATACATTTTTTGTTTAATTTTGATAAATTCATTAAATTCTAAAAATTAATTAATCAATTTTATTATATTATTATTATTAATATTATTATTATCATTATTATTAATATAATCAATTTAAGGACCTACTAAAAAGTGTATATTGAATAAATAAAATAAAAAACAATAATAATATTAAATTATTTATTATTTAGTTAACCTTACCTATATTAATTAAAAAATAGTTCAAAAATTATTATTTTATTGGATTTTGTAAGGGCATTCTCACTGTTAAATAAATAAAATTATTTTTTAATTTTTAAGTAATTTTTTGTTAAAATTGAATATTAATTTATAAATTTTTTAATTAATTTATTAATGAAAAAATTAACTTACATGTCACATGAAAATTGAAAAATTCTATTATATTGTTTTCAAAAAAAATACCGGCAAATTAATTGTGATTAACAAGTGTGACACTGACATTTGTAATAACAAAAAAATCACTTCATTATACAATTAGAATTACATAAAATATTGTTTTTCTTTACAATTGAAAATAAAATTTTTTTTCCAAAACTCGTTTAAATATATTTTTTTTTATACTTGACAAATAAAAAAAGCAAATAAAATAGACACGTTGTACTAGTATGCAGTAAGAAACTTTCTATTGTGTGGCTAATCACTATAGAAACACATATGAAGTATTTATAGGCAAGTTATACTACATCAGGTCTCTTTTACATTGCGCTTGCGTTAATATACATATATATATGTATATCATAATTGTCAAGGTTTTTCCCGTGAAAATTATTTATGAAATTTTCTTTCTTTAAATTATTTTTTTTTTTAATATAATAAAAAAAATTGAAAAAAAAAATTAAAAAATAAATTTTAGTTTCGAAAGTACTTTATTATTTTTTAAAATATTTATAAACAAATATCTAAATATTTAAGGGAGTGTTTCATATATTTTTAAGCATTTTTAAACTTTTTTATATTGTAGCGGATAAAATTTGTTTGAAAAAAAAATACAAACTTTCTTCAAATATAAATTCAATTAAAAAAATTAATAAATTTTTTCAATAACAATTTTTCAATTAAAAAATTAATTCTAAATATTTAGTACTTACCAAGAAATAACATAAAATTATAGTTTAAATTGTTGCCTTTAAAAAAAAAATCAATGAATTATAAAAAAAAAACTTTGTTAAATTTATTTTAATAAAAAAAAAAAATGTTCTATTTAAACAAATGTTTTACAATTGATAATTAAAATTTGCATTTAAAAAAACTATAAAATTTACCAAATTGAAAAATACATAATTTGCAACATTAAATTTCAGTTTGAATCGCTTCAGTGACTACAATACATCATATATATGTATATATTTGTGTATTGCATATGTCACTATGGTAACGCGCATGGGGTCTGAAAATAGTATAAACCTACGTCAACTTTATATACTTTTAAAAATCGGTCAAAGACCTTAAAAGCTAATAATAACTAAAACGAAGAATAAATTTAAACAAATTGTATAAATATATTATTTTGTAAATAATTATTAATAACAAAATGGTCGCCGTCGATTGGGATCGTGTATTATCAATAAATCCACTGTCATTAAAAGATGAAGAAATTGAGGATCTTTATCCAATGGTTGTAGAATGCGATGCAGAGGAAATAAATAACATACATAACCTACAAGTTTTATTTAAAATTTCTCAAGAAATTTTACAAATTAAAGACAGTCAGGTAAATTTTTTCACTTTTATTATTATTATTATTATTATTTATTTTTATTTATTTACATTTTTTTAGAAATTTATATCATATAAAATATAATAAAAAAAATATTTTTTTATTTTTAATTATAAAATATAAACAACAGATATATATTAAAATTATATATTATATATTAAATTATATAATATATATTAAAATTTAAAATTATTGTTAAAATTATAATAAATCTAGAAAAAATAATTTACATTTTATAGTTGACAAATATGAATTTTAAAAATGTGTGATATAATAATTTAATTATTTAATAATTGTTTATTTAATTATTTTATTATAATATACATTATACAATTATTTTATTTTTCTTCGTTTATGTTTTATGTTTAAAAGTGACGATTTATTTTCTGATGTTGAAAATCTTTCAAATTTTATTTTTCATCCACAATTTTTTAAAACATTTTTTATAATCTTTATGAAATAAATAATTATTTAAAATTATTATTATTATTATTTATTATTTAATTATTTTAAATTTCAATTTTTTTAAAAAGATATTATTTTTAAAAAATATTTTTAAATATTCAAAAGTTGTTAATATAACCAATTTTGGAAATATATACAAAAAAAAAAATTAGTTAACTAAATTATTAGTTTATAAATTTTTTAATATAACTCGAATTTTCTGAAAAAATAAAAATTTGAATTTTTCTCATACTTTTTTATTGTTATTTTCCATCGATAATTTTTTTTTAAATTCACTTTTCATGATTTTATTGAAATAAATATAATTATATTAATAAAATTTTATGAATTTTGAAAATTTTCAATTTTTGAAATAATAAAATTTCTTAGATATTGCACGCAAAAAAATCTTCACTTAGATCAGCGATATGTTTCACTGAAACAGTGAAAGTTTTCGCTACTCTAGAGAAATATATCGCTGTACCAGAGAAATTTATCGCTGTTCCAGATAAAGATTTTTTGCGTGTAGAAAATAATTCTAAAATTATCAAAAAAAAACTATTTAAAAAAAAAAAAAAATTCTAAAATATTACGAAATAATTTATTAAAATTTTAATAATACAGAATAATTATATTTAAAGAATAAAATAAACAATAAATTGGTGTCTATAATTTAATTTTTTTGTAATTCCACTTATTTATTTATTTATCTAAATAAATATTTTAAAAAAACGTAAATTTTGACGAGTTAAAATTGTACTGAATTCTTCTTAAGATTCTAAACAAAACAAATTAAAGAATAATAAATTTTTTTCCTCTAAAGGATTTGAAAATAAAATGAGATTTAAAAAATAAGAATTTATTTAATCAATTACATATTGAGTATATAATTGAAGGGTAGAATGACAAAAGGGGTCAAGCGCCAATTCACTGTTTTTACAGGAAGTAAAAAAAACATTTTTAAAAATTTTGCAGGTCATTTAAAAAAAAACTGAGAAAACCGTTTCGATATATTAGTATGTTTTAATAAATAAACAACAATTTGTTGAAATTAACCTACATATTAACGATAAAATTAAAAAAAACTGTGGTTCCTTGAGGTTATATCAACTGCGCACATTTTCTTTAAGCATTAATTATAAAAAAAATATACAGTTTAAAGAAAAACTGGAAAATTAGTTTCTTTCTATGGAATCGACGAAATTAATAGAAAAAAAAATTCCTTTAAAAAATTGTTTGTTTTCAAGAAAATTACGAATTAATTGCTTGCTTTGGAATTGAGCAATACTTTCATCTTTAAATTCAATTGTTCACTTAGTATAATCATAAAAATATTTAAAAATTAATAACAATAAAATGATTTTAAAATTGTTTAAAATTGAAAATATATTATTATTATTATTAATTTTATTAATTAAAATAAAATAAAATTAAAATAAAATTAAAATAAAATATTAAAATAAAACCTAAAAAATAATATTTTTGATCAAAATTGAACACCGCTTTCTTTTGTTTTTCAATCAGGTTGCAATAAAGTAAATTTGAGGCTATTTTATTAATTTAATTTTTATTAAAAACTGATTTAAATACGCAATAAAAAAGGAAATCCTTCTACAGAAATGTGTAAATGAATTTTCTTGATTTTTTTATGCAAAAACCTCATTTTCGATAAATTGGCGCTTGACCCCTTTTGTCATTCTACCCTTCAATTAAGTATAAATTATTATTTTTTATAAATAATAAATAAAAATTCTATAGTGTTGAATATTTTTGCAGATTGAATCACTTATAATTGAATGTGATGAATTGAGGGAAAAAAATCTCATGGAGAAAGAAACTTCTCCTTCAAAACAAAAGTCAGGTAAGTAAGAAAAATAAAATTAATTTTTAAAAGTGAAATTTAAAATTTTTGAAAAAATTTGTCAAATTCTTTTCAAGTTTAAATAAAAAAAAAAAAATAATTTTTAAATATTTATAAATTAATTTAGGGAGAAAATTGGAAGCCACCGATGAAAGTGGAATCGATTCCCAGGTAATGTAAAATTATTTTATTTAAATTTTTATTTATAAATAAATATATTAAATTTAAAAATAAAATTAAAAAAATTAAATTTTTTTTATATGTATTCCCAATCAGCGTGATTCTGGATATGAAGAGAATGTTCAGGAAATGTTACGCGAGAAGAATAGTAAAATTGAAATTCTCATGCAAGAACTTGAGGTATATTAATTAATATTAATTTTTTCTCAATAATTAATATATTTTATTATTTTAATCAGAGGAATTCTTTCTGAAATGTCTCAGTCAAAAATTAAAAATTATTGAATTATTATTATTAATTAATTAATTATTATTTATTTATTTGGAACATAACGGGACATGCCCTTTCGTACAAAAGTATTAATTATTATTATTATTTTAGTTTAATAAATTGTTACCCTACGTAAGGATATAAATCACCAAAAAATATTACACATTTTTTTAAAATTAAATAAATATGTAAAAATGAAGATTTTCTTTTCCCTTGAAAAATTTTCAGAAAAAAATTGTAAAGAAAGCGTAAAATTTTTTTTTAGAGGAAAAATTTACGAAAGTTTCAAACAAAACCAATAATATTTAATTTTTTACTGAAATATTTGAGAAAAAATGGAAAAAAATTCTACATTTTAAATTATGTTGTAAAAAATATTTTTTGTAAAATAATTTAGAGTTTAGAACATGACAACACTATTTTGAAAGAAAACTTAACATTACTAAAAGAAGAAATGGAAGATGCGACAGAAAAAATGAATGAAATGACAGATGAATTGACATCTCTTCAAGACAATATAAATATTTATAAAGGTACTTTTTTTTATTTATTTCTCTTTTTAAAATACCTTTTTTAAATTCAAGTTTGATTTTATTTTTTTTTTTAAATTAAATATTTTTTTCCAGACAAATCAGTACAATTAGAATTTGAAAATAAGGCGCTAGTAACACAAATTGAAGAATTGTCATCTCAACAAGTGGAAAGAGATAAACTTATCGATGATTTTGGTTTAGCTATTGACGCCAGAATTATTGAATGGAAAGTAAGTGTATAATAAATTAAATCAATTCTCAAATTTCAATTTTTCTATAATAATTAAATTGTGTTTAAATATTAAAAAGTTTTTATTTGATCATCTTTAGCATTTTTTTTTCTTGCATTTTAGAAAAAAATTTTAAAAAATGATTCATTTATATATATTTACAGAGTATCCTCGATGAAAAAGATGTAGAAATTGCACAATTAAAAGAAAATTTATCACAAACACGGATGCAAACGTCGACAACTCATAAAAATAAAAAATCATCAAAGATTGAAAGTTTAAGTGAAGAGATTGATCATCGGGATAAAATAATATTAGAATTGCAAAGTAAACTTTCTGAAGCTGTGACTGAAATTAATGAAAGTTGTTCAGTCATTGAAAAATTAAAAACTGATTCACAATCGTAAGTTTAATTCGATATATTTATTCACAATTTTCAGAAAACATGAACAATTTTAATAATTATATTTTTTTATTTTTTTTATTTAATAATATATTCAAAATTTATTTTTCAATATTAATTAATTATTAATTAAATTAAAGAGTTTTTTTTTTACTTAACAAATTTGTTCAACAGAACTGAAGGATCGAGGAAGAAAAGAGATCAACGTGATTTACTAAAAAAATATCAATCAGCAAATGAAAAAATTCAAAATCTTCAAAAATTATTGGAATCTGCTGAAAATGATGCTTTAGTAAAGAGCGAAGAAGTAAGACAATATTTATATATCTTCTTTTAATATTTAGAATTTCTTAATCACAAAATTTCTCATTTTTATTTAATTTTAGCTATGCGAAGCTCTTGTTACAATACGTAAATACCAGGATCACGACCAAGGTCTAACTGACACGCTAAATGAATTAAAAGAAGTCAAAGACCAATTAAATTATAAAAACGAATACATTCAAGATCTCGTGAACGTTATTAATAAACTGGAAATGATAAATTCACATCAGGAAGCGGAAATTATTGCCCTAAGGTGAATATTCAAATTTTTTTGGTTTTATTATATAAGAAGAAATTTTAATTTACCGAAAAAATAGAATGTTCGATTTTTCAAATATATAATTAAGAAAAAATCAATTTCTTTGACTTTTTCTTTGATATAAAGAAAATTTATTTGTTTCAAAGAAATTATCTTTGATTAAAAAAAAAAAACTGATACCAGTCTCAAAAATCAGACTCCAAAAACCTCTACATTGCAACTTTGAAGCAAATCCGATCAATTTTAAAAAATTCTTTCGCCATTTTAGGTCCGCCATTTTTAATTTTGAAAAACTGATGCCAGATTCGAAATCAGAGAAAAAATTTTCCTCTTTATTGAATCCAATATTTTGAATGTTAAAAATCTAATGTCAGATTCGTAAGCAGCGGCCCGATAATTTTTTAATAACGAGTTTCAAGCGATTTCGATTAATTTTTGAAAATTCTTTCGACATATTATGTCCGCCATTTTGAATTTTGAAAAACTGATTGCAGATTCGAAATCTGAGATCCTAAAAACCCCTTCTAAAATCCAATCAATTTTTTAAAAAAATTTCCTCATATTATGTCCGTTATTTTGAATTTTGAAAATCTAATATCAGATTCGTAGTCAACGACCTCGAAAACCACTTAGCAACGAGTTTCAAGAGAATTCAATTAATTTTGAAAATTATTTTCGCCATATTAGGTTCGCCATTTTTAATTTTGAAAAACTGTCAACGAATTTATAATCAGCGATTTTGAAACCCCTCCGAGCAACGAGTTTCAATCAAATTTAATTAATTTTTCAAAAATTTCTCCATATTTAATCTGTCATTTTGATAAAGAATTATTTCATTTAAAAAAAAAAAAATTAATTTTATTTACAAAAAACATTTTATTTTAGAGAAAAGCTTGATATGCCAGAAGAAGAAGTAATTGCAGTTGATCATATTATCAAAAGAAGACAAGAAGAACGAAAAAAAGTTCAAGAAAGTGAACATATCAACAGAGTGTTAAAGGAAGAAAATTTGGAACTTAAATCAGATGTGAGTTGCTCAAAATAAAATTACCACTAAATATTTTCATTATGACAAAAAATTTTAGAAATGTTTTAAAATGAATTCCAAAATGTTAGAAAATATTTATAAAAAGATTTGCAAAAAAAAAACTCGCTACCGATTAAAATCTGTAAAAAAAATTCATTGACCCACATGTGCACAAAATTTCGATTTTTAATTAAATTCATCTCTTTAATTTCACAATTCTTTTTCTTTCAGATAAGAACATTAAGGTACAAATTAAAAAAATTATCAACAAAATTTGTGGGACAATATGGTACGTCACTTAAATCGGATACAATTGATAATCCAGCAGGATCATCGCAAAGTTTACAGAAATCCGAAGAAGATTGGTTTACCGAGAGGGATAAAGATTTGTTTGCCGATAAAATAGAAATGAATAAAATGAAAGAGGATGTACAATTTTTCATTGATGAAAATTCAGCGCTTAGAAAAGGAATGCATGAAATATTGGACAGTATTCGCAATCAAGATGGTAAAAAGCAAAACAAAAAATTTTATTATAATTTCAAAATTAATTTTCGATAATTTCAACAGAGGTAGCATTGAATTTTAAACAATAATAAATTAAAAACATTACAATTTTTTTTTTAAAGGCAAAAGTTCGGTGCAAATTCAATCGGAGACATTGGAAAGATTACTTGAAGCTTTGGACATAAGACATTTGGCAGGATGGTATCATCCAGCTATGAGGATGCAGGAACAATTAAATGTTATCCAGGGAGTTAATTCCGAGTTGAGAGTACAACTTAGAGAATTTAGGTAAACATTTAAAAAAAATAAATAAATAAATAAAATACAGAAAAAAATATAGAATTTAATGTAGGACAAAGAATTTAATAATCAGAACATTTTTTTCCCCAACAGAAATGAGGCGAAACGTAAAGACATTATGTTGCAACAGGCAGGTGTTCAATCACCCAAAGAAGTATCAAAAGTCGAAGATTCAGAAACGGAGAAAGCAAAAGTAAACGTTTCCGAAATGGAAGAATTACAGGAAGCATATCAAAATGAAATCGAAGAATGGCAAAAACAAACGGATTTACTCAAACAAGAAAAATCTGATCTTAAAGAAACGATTCTTAAATTTGAAGTAAAAATTCAAGAATACGAGAACAATTGGAAACTCTTAAATCTAAGCGATGATGATATACGCATTGCACTTGATGCAAAAAGTAAAGAATATGTCGAAATCACAGGACAACTATCCCTAGCTAATAGAAAATGTCTTATTCTCGAAGAACAATTAAGCAGAGAATCAACAAAATTATATCTAGCTCAAAAAGAAGCAATAGCTAAAGAAAGCTGTCTACAAAGACATTTAGTAGACTCCGAGAAACGTTTGAAACTTTTGGAAAATCATATTTCAATGCTACAAAGTAATTTATTAAATTCAATAAGTGTTTTACAATACAATGAATTAAATGAAAAATATGTCGAATGCAATATGAAACTTCATGCAATGCTTGAAGATCGTATGCAACAAAGAGTTAAACATCAAACAAAATTAGAGGAAAAAATACAAAATTCAGAAAAAATTGATGCCGAATCATTAAAGTTAATAGACAATGATTCAAGTCAATTAGCAGAAATTAAAATTAAACTTCACGATGAACAACAACGCGCCGATCGTTTATCGCAATTGTATGATAAATCGCGTAAACAATTGACACAAATTGAAGTCGATTTTAGTCGAGCGACTGCATTAAATTCCGAATTAAGAGATCAACTTATACAATTACATCAAACACTCACTAATGAAATGAAATTGCAAAATATACAACAACCTGACGTTGATGAAATATTAAATGATCATCAAAAACGAATAAATATATTGCAAATTGAAAATAAAAATCTTAAACAAATGAATGATATATCAAAAGAAGAGGCACAAATGCAATATACGATAAATTCATTAAAAACCATTGAATTAGATAGTTTGCGTCATCAAATTTTAGATTTACAAGCAATTAGTGAGGATAAGGAAACAATTGCTAGACTAGGTTTTGAATTGACAAATTGCCGTTCATTGGAAATGGAATTGAGAAAAAAGAAAGATATGCTGGATAATAATTTATTGGAATTAAATCAAGAAATTGAAGAATCAAGAAAGTCAAACGAAGAAATAAGAAAACAATTGCAACAGTATCGTGAACAATCGAAAAATCGATGCCAGTAAGAATTTATAGGGTGTTTAGTGGTAGTTGAAATCCTTGAAATTTTTGAAAAATCCTTGGTTTTTTTTTTGATCTTTCAAATTCCTTGAATTTTGAAAATAATTTGTTACAATGACAATCGGATTGTTAATATAGAACTAACAAATCTGGTTTCTTGTTGACAAAAAAAATTTTCATTCATTACAAAAACTTTTTTTTAAAATTCCTAACATTTATTTATTTTTACAAACGAAACAAAGATCTCGATTTTTTATTATAAATCCTAATTTTTTTCAAAACTCGAAAATTTTTTCGATTTATTTTCAAATTTTTTTTTCTGATACTTTTTATCATCTTAACTTTTTATTATTAAAAATTCTCGTTTTTGAAGCGATTTTTCCCTCAAATTTTCATTTTTTTTTACAATTCATAAAATTTTTATATATATTTATTTACTTTTACAAACTAATCAGAAATTTTCAATTTTTCCGTAAATTCTCCTTTTATTCTGAAAATTTATTTTATATTTATTTTTATTCTTATTTTTTGAAAATCCAAAAATTTATTTATTTAGTTTTATAAACTAGCCCAAAATTCGCAATATTATCTCAATTTCTCCTTTTATTTTGAAAATTTATAAAATCCTCGATTTCGATGTACAAATTTCCTAAAATTTAATTTCTCTTCATTTTTTTAAAAAAAAATATCATGTTTTTTATTCTTCAAATTCTCTTAATTGGAATTTCTAAAAAAATCTATTTTTCTTTTAATTTCTTCTATTTATTTTCTTGAATTTTTAGTTTCCTTTCATTTTTCTAAAATTCTCGTTTTTTAAAACATTTTTCTATTTTTATTCTTATTTTTTGAAAATACAAAATCTTTTTTATTTAATATTGCAAACTAACCCAAAATTCTCAATTTTCCTGACAAATATTCCTTTTTTTTGTGAATTTCTAAAATTCTTAATTTTTCTTTCAAAATTTCTCTTGTATTTCCTTAAATTTTTTATTTTCTTTTTTCAAATTGTAGAGTTTTTTTTTTTTTTTTATGTTTTCATCAAACTATTCGTGTTTTAAATTTTTTCTTCAATTTCTCCTTTTATTTAAAAAAAAATTCTTAAAATTTATTTATAATTAAATTTTTTAATTCTAAAACTGTTAAATGCAAATTTTTTTTTAGCAAATTTTTTATTATTAATAATTAAAACAAATTTGGGGAAATGCTTAGTATAAATCAGGGAAAAGTCAAGTATTTTTTTCGGGAAGTTATTTATCACCATGTAATAATAAAATTGTTGAGAAAACAAAAAATTTTATATAAAAAAATCTGATTCTTAACAAATTCATTTTTCTCCAGAACATGCTTTAAATAGTAAAATTGTTCATGCTTTTATTTCTACTCATTCATTTTATATTTATTCAGAAAAACTAAGAAACAAAACTCTTACTTTATTATAAATGAAAAATATTTCCATAGTTTCTACGCCAAAAGTTGACCTTGAAAAAAATTATTTTAGACCATGAAAAAACTTTGAAAAGTCCTTAAATTTTTTTTTTTTTTTTGAAAACTTGCTGAAAAATTTATAAAATTTTATTTTCTAAAACAGATAAATATTTACAAAAAAAAAATTTCTTTCAGATCCTACATTGAAATGATGCGATTTTTACAACGACAATACGCTGGTTCAACATCATTAACTGCTTTGGAACGATATGAGTCAAATCTAACAAAATTAATAACAGATCGTGAGGAATGTTATAAATTATCTCAAGAGGCAAAAGAAGAAAATGAAAAAGTCAAACTTCAACACGAAATACTTTCTAATCGTTTGCAAATAGTTGAACAATTGAAAGATATTTTAGAACAACAAATTGGAAGTCCAGATGTACAAAATTTAATGCAACGATTTTCCGAGGAATCACAACGTTTTCTTAGCGTAAGTATATAATTTTTATTTACAACAAATTCAAAGTAATAAGCAAACATATAAGATTAATTAATTTTTTTTTATTATTTTAGGATTTAAAATATAAACGACAAATTTCTCATCTTGAATATGAATTGGAAACAGCAAACAAAAAACTTCTAGAATATGAAACAACAGTAACATCAATGGAATTTGAAATGTTAAATATGCAAAAAATTTGGAAAGAAAAAACAAATCGCGAAAATATTGTACAACAAAAGAATAATGAAATTTTGATTTCACAACAAGAAATAATTCCCGAAGAAGAAGTGGATATTACTTTTGAAGAGTCGCCAAAAAAAGATGAAGTGAAAAATGGAAATCTAAAAGTAAATAAAGAAAATAAAATAGAATCTAAAGAAGATGTTGAAAAGAAATTAAAAATAATTTCTAATTCGACACAAACGGAAATAATTAATAAACGTTCGATTGATGTACAATGTGAATTAAAAATTCATCATCAAGAATCAGAGAGTACAAAAGTAACAAATGAATTAATTCTAGATGAAAACAAACAAGTGGATAGAGATGATAATATTCATAGTTTTCATAAGGAACAACTTAACAAAGCACTGGCACTCGCTTCTGAAAGATCGGCAATTATTTCCAAATATGAATCACAAATCACTGAATATCAGGCGAAAATTAATTCTCTAACATTAAATATCGAAGAGAAAGATGTGAAAATTATTGATAGAGATAAAATTATAGAACAATTGAAAAATGAATCTAATATTCCAAATACTTGTAGATCTGATAATGAGGCATTGAATTCAACAATAAATACTTTACAAAAATTAATAAGTCAAAAGGAAGAAACAATTGCAAGATATCAATTGTTATTGAAGGAAGATAGAGATGAGCATGGTAAAGTTGCAAGTATTTTGCAAGAAGAAATTAAACATCTTCAGGAAAAAATTGCAATTTATGAAAAAGAGGATAATATTAGGTGAATATATTTAGAACTCGTTTTTTAAGGACATTTTAAGTAGATGAATTGAAAATTTTTTAAATTTCTAATTTTAAATACACTATGTTTAAAATAATTTTTTTAAATCATTGGCTTTTTTTTTAAGACAAGTGAATGAAATTCCGGAAAGAGATGACAAACCAGAGAAAGAAGACTCTGTGAAGGAAAATTTAACTAAAGACTATGATTCAATAGTTGATAGTGCAAGACTTAAGGAAAAAATTTTAATGCTCGAAGGAGATTTAAAAGCTGCTAGGGAACTTGGACAACGTTGGCATCGATTGGCTGAGGATAGATTGAGTCATATTGATGCCATGAGAACAAGGTATTTAATTCCTGCTGAATGTGAAGAGATATATAAATTCTATCTCTTTTAATATTTTTTTTGATCTCTTTTTATCTTCTTCTATCTATTTTTTTGTCTCTTACTATCTATCTATATCTTTTTTCTTTTTATATCTTATCTTTTTGTCATTTTCTATTTCTTTTTATCTCTTTCTATTACTTTCTATCTATTTCTATCTATTTCTATCTATTTCTATCTCTTTATATCTCTTTCTGTCTCTTTCTGTCTCTTTCTATCTATTTCTATTTATTTCTATCTCCTTCTATCTCTTTTTGATTTTTTCTATCTAGGGTAAGTGTACCAATTACGGCGAGTGCACCAATTACGGCGCGTTTATAAAAAATAACTATTATTACCATTATATTTAATATAACTGTTGCCAAATGATTAAAAAAAATTATTTCAATTTTTTTTTATACAATTACTTATAAAGATGCACATTTAAACAATTATTAATTTAATTATTTGAGATCAAATTTTTTTCCCCGCCGCAATTGAAACATTTTTAAGATTTCCATTGGCTCCAATTTCGGCGGGCAAAGTATCTTCAAAATACACGTAATTTTGGTCACCGAAATTGATACACCGAAACTGATACAAACGCGCCGCAATAGAAAATTACGGTATTGGTTTTAATTTCTCATATTTGTTTAAATAATCGATTTTTATAAAGTTAAAATTTTTTTTTAATATCTTAATAACATAAGCTTTTAGTTTAATAAGTCTTAAATTGAGTTTATAAAATAAAAATGTCGAATTTTCTATTTCAAAGATGTTTTGACTCGAATCGCGCCGCAATTAGTACATTTACCCTATTTCTATCCATTTCTATATTTTTGAATTTATTTCTATCTCTTTTAGATTTTTTCTATCTCTCTACATATTTTTTCTTTTAAGTTCTTAACTCTTTATCTCTTTCTGTATCCTTCTATTTATTTCCATCTTTATTTCAATCCCTTTTTATATTTCGTTATCTCTTTCTATATATTTCTATTTATTTTTATCTCCTTCTATCTCTTTTTGATTTTTTTTTCCATCTCTCTACATATTTTTTGTCTTTTTATGTCTTTATCTCTTTCTATATCCTTCTATTTCTTTCTATCTATGTCTATCTATTTCTATCTCTGCCTATCCCTTCTTATCTCTCGTTATCTCTATCAATCTTTTTCTATATCTCTCTATATCTTTTTTTCTATATATCTCTAAATCTCTTGATCTCTTTCTATCTCTTTTTACATATTTCTATCTATTTCAATCAATTTCTTTCAATTTTTATCTCTTTTTATCTATTTCGATATTTTTCTATCTGTTTTTATTTCTTACTATCTCTTTCTTTCTGATTCTAATTATTTCTGTTTCTTTCTATCTCTTTTTATCTCTTTATTTTCATGTGGAGCGACTCCACGTCAAGTGATCGCACTGTTTTTTGTTATTTTAGTAAATTTTTATGAAATTGATAATTTGGGTTCTTTTAAGGGTTAAAATAAGAAATCCCAAGTATTTTTAAAAAATTCAAAATAATTTTCAAAATATTGCAAATATAAATTTTTTGTAATTTTTTTTTTTTGATTTATTATAATATTCGCAAATTTTAACCAATTATGATGAATTTTTTTTTAAATTACTCGTAATTAAATGCTCTAACATGAAAAAAATATTTTAAAAAAATTATACAATTTTTATTGTTTAAATAAATAGAAAAGTATAATACTAAATAATTTTTTCTCGAAAACTATGAAACATACCATCTTTTTCAAGGTAACAACCCAAGAAGCACGTAATATATCCTCAATATCAAGGTAAGAGATGAGATTCGTGAGATTCGTAATATAACGCTGTAATATTACAGTAATCTTACAGTGATCTTAAAATGTCCGCCTCAAGGTAATATTACCGGGAATATTACTGTAATATTAACTGTAATATTACAGTAATATTAACGGTAATATTACAGTAATATTACAGACTGATTTGAGTTATTCATAAAGCATAAAAAACCTAAATATATTATAAGTCAATTTGGCTTGTTGGTAAAACTCTGGACTCGTGTGCTTTGAGTTCGGGGTTCGATTCCCTGGATGGGTAGATTTTTTTCGTAAAGAAATGTTCCCATAATATTACTGTAATATTCTCTTGTAATATTACCTTAATATTACGGTATAATATTACTGCAATATTACTGTAATATTACCTTAATATTAGCGCGTAATATTACAGTAACATTACCGGTAATATTACCTTGAGGCGGACATTTTAAGATCACTGTAAGATTACTGTAATATTACAACGTTATATTACGAATCTTACATGTAATATTACCTTGATATTGAGGTTTTATTACGTGCTTCTTGGGAATTAAAATTTTATAATTTTTTAAAAAATATTTTTTTCATAAAAGAGCATCTAATAAATCCAAAAAATAAAAATAAAATAAATTTATATTTGCAATATTTTGAATTTTTCAAAAATACTTGGGATTTCTGATTTTAACCCTTAAAAGAACCCAAATTATCAATTTCATTACCAAAATAACAAAAATTAGTGCGATCACTTCATGTGGAGTTGCACTGTGCAAATTTTAATTATATTCTGTCCTTCACTCAATCCTCTTGTAGTAAATTTCAATCTCTTTCTTCCTTTTTGTTGGTGGCTCGCTCGGTACTTTAATAATTTCTTAAGTTATTTCTATTTTTTATATAACACCTTCCGACACGATTTTTGACCCACAAAAAAATCCAATATTTTCGGAAACTAGGACCCCCTAAAAAAATACACGTGTCTGGCCGTTTTGCTAGATCAAGTCGTTTGTGGTTTTTATGGGTGAAAACAACCTCTAAATGAAAAGTGACAAGATATCTTTTAAAAATTATATTAATTTTTTATAAAACTTGGTATCTGGTGGTTTTCGGGGTCGCTAATTATTAATCTGATGTCAGATTTTCAAAATTTAAAATGGCGGATCCAATATGGCGATCAAATTTTTAAAAAGTTATTAATTTTGCTTCCTCGTGGAGGAAGCTTTGTAGTCTTTTCGTTTGTAAAAATTTTCAAAGTGTCGGAAACAAATTTTTCTCTATATAGAAACATGTTATATGAGATCCTGATCAATTGTCCGGATGTATGTGTGTGTGTGTGTGTGTGGATCCCTTTTTTGTTTAGAAGATAACTTTAACAGGTTTTAATGGATTTAGATAAAATTTGGTAGACTCATTTATCATATTAATATCTCAAATCTGACCAAAGGATTTTAAAAAATACCCAAAAAAAAAATTTTATCGTCTTTTTTCCAAAAAATTTTTTTTAATCGAAAAAATTTTTAAATAGAAAAATTTAAGGTTATATATAATAAAATCGTATTCCTTACGTCAAGACAAATCGATCAGTATAATATAAAGTATAGTTTTAATTTAAATTTAAAGAATTAATGAAAATTAAAAAATCAAAAATTCACATTTTGGCTATAAAATTTTGTGATTATTTAAATTTAAGTTTATAGATAAAATAATTTTATTCCTTATATGAAAACGAATCGATATAATTGTAAATAATTATAAATTATGTATTATTTTTCATTAATATTTAGAAATTTCGGTTAAAATATGAATTTTTGATTTTTTTACTTCCATTAACTTTTTCAATTTTACTCAAATGTATAGGTACTCTAATGTTTATATTATTTTTGTATGTTTATTTCAATGTTAATGCTTTCTCCACGAGGAAGCAAATTTTTTTGCTGATCGTAAAGAGGAAGCAAAATGTTCATGTAATGAACATCTGAATTTACAACTTGTTTTATGTTATATCCGCCATTTTGAATTTTCAAATTTAACTTCAGATTTGACATCAGCGACCCCAAAAACCCCTAGATACCAAATTTTATAAAAAATTAATAACTTTTTAAAAATTTGACCGACATATTGGAACCGCCATTTCGAATTTTGAAAATCTGACATCAGATTAATAATCAGCGACCCAGAAAACCCCCAGATACCAAGTTTTATAAAAAATTAATAATTTTTAAAAGATATCTTGTCACTTTTCATTTAGGGGTTGTTTTCACCCCTAAAAACCACAAACGACTTGACCTAGCAAAAAAGTTGAATTTTGTCGGGCGGTGTAATTTTTGGTAGTGAGCTCTTATACTAGGAATAGAGAGAGATTGAGTAAAGATTAGAATAAAGTTAAAAGTTTAAGCAAAGGTGTCGCTAGTAAGAAATAAAAAGAGATAGAAAATTTTAAATATAATTGGATAAAAGAAGAGATAAAAAGAGATTAAAATTTATAGTAAAGAGGTACAGGGAGATATAAAATAAAGATAAAAATTTATAACAAGAAAATTGATTTATATTATATTAGAAAATTCTCAATATTATTCAATTTATCATAGCAGTGAAAATGTGGTGACAGAAACAATTAAAATTAGTACTAGAAGAAGATATAGATGTAAGGATAGTAAAATATAAAAATATAAAAATTTCTGTCAAAGATACAAACTTAGAGATAAAAAAGATATAAATATTACCGAATACAGAAATATAAAGAGACAAAAAGAAATAAAAAGAGATACACATCACCCGATATAGATGTATAGAAAAAGATAGAAGTTTAGAGATACAAAGATATAAAGTTTTTATACAATTTGGCTATTTGAAAAAAAATTTATTAAAAAAATACACATGAATTTTTACGTGAATTAAATGTGTATTTTGACGTGACAATTTGAAACAGGAATTAAATGTGTATTACACGTTTAAATACTCTAAAAATTTATATTTATTAAAAACAATAAAATTTTATCTTCAAGTATAATTCTACGCTTATAAATCAATTTTTCAAATAAATTTTAAGCGTGTAATTGCTTCACATGTATAATTACACGTGGAATTTAATGCTCGAAATATTATTTATGAAATATTACAAAATTACTTATACACTTTTATTTACACGTCATTCCGATTTTAATAATTGTCACGTGAAAATACACGTGTAATAATAATACGCGGAATTACACGTGTAATTTTTTCAATATTGAATAGAAAAAATTCCTATCTTTTTCTATCTCCAATAATTCTATCTCTCTTTTTATCATTTCATTTCCAGCATGGAAGATAATCAATAAATCTCAAAACTAAATTTTCTAAACTTCATATATAGCTGTAAATTTTTGATATGTGATTATATATTTTGTAAATAAAATAGATTAGAAGAACAACATAAAACAGAATTAGAGAGTTATCGTTTGGAGCTCCATAAATGGCAATGCGAAACAGTTTCATTAAGAAAAAAATTCTCAGAAAATCGTATGCAATTAGCAAAAGAGAATATTTCCATGTCTAAAGATTTACAAGAGAAGGAAAATCAAATTCAAGATTTAAGTGTTACTTGTCAGCAGTTACAGGTAGTGTTATTGAATTCCAGTTTTTTTTTTAATTTTAAAGAATATTTTAAATTGTTTGAATTTTAAAGCTAATGAGATAAAAATTTGAATTTCTTTAAGAACGAACTCGAAGTTATGGAAACAGTGGCAAATGTTCCACAAGCAAGCAATTATGATGTAAGAGAGGCAAAAATGTGTGAGACAATACATAATTCTAGTCGGGAGCAAGCTATTAATCAATCACAAACTCAATTAGATTGCCTACGTCGTCAATTGCAGGCTTTGTTGGATAAGGAAAGAATATACAAGAATCAAATTGCTGAACTTAAACAACAACAAAGTAGAAGGTGATTATAAAAATTTTTCAATTATGATTTTAAATAATTTTTTTCAAACAATTATAGTGACAATCGGGGTAATTATGCCATCTCAGGGGCTATTATACCCATTGACAGTTTTTAATGAATAAAATATATTAAAATGTTTACATATATTACGTTTATATTATCCGGTAATATTACAGTAATATTACAAAAAATTTCAAAAACCACTTAACCCCTTGGGTGTCGATGACGTGTATACACGCACATAAATTTTGAGCCCAATAATAAGACGGAATTGGCCTAAAATTTGTTACTCGGGGGGTTTTTGGGGTCGCTGCTTCCGAATTTGATGTCAGATTTACAAAATTCAAAATGTCGGATACAATATGGCGACCAAAAATTTTGAAAATTGACCATATTCGCTTGAAACTCGTTACTCGGGGGTTTTTGGGGTCGCTGATTCCGAATTTGATGTCAGAATTACAAAATTTCAAAATTCAAAATGGATACAATAATAATCACACCCATACTATGCTATTTTGAATACCCAAAACCCCTGAGTAATAATTTTTAAGAATCAGCGACCCCAAAAACCCCCAAGTAACAATTTTTAAGTATTTTTAAATAATTTTTGCCATTTTTTGAAAAAATTGTCCGCCATATTGGTTCCGCCATTTTGAATTTTTGAATTCGGATTTTAGATTCGTAATCAGTGACCCTCAAAACCCCTGAGTAATAATTTTTAAGTATTTTTAAATCATTTTTGCCATTTTTTAAAAGAATTGTCCGCCATATTGGCTCGGCCATTTTGAATTTTTGAAATCTGACTGTAGATTCGTAATTAGCGACCCCAAAAACCCCCAGGTATCAATTTTTAAGTATTTTTAAATCATTTTTGCCATTTTTTAAAAAAATTGTCCGCCATATTGGCTCGGCCATTTTGAATTTTTAAAATCTGACTTTGGAATCGTAATCAGCGACCTTAAATACCAAAGTATACACATTTGCATAAATTTTGGTCATTCAAAAATTTACTGACATTTTGGCCCCACATATGAGATTTTGGCCTCGACTGCGAAGGGGTTAAAAGTATTTGACTGATTAATCATTATTTTTTTCTGTTTTATCATAAAAAACTTTGAAATTTTTATGTATTTCAAATAAACTGGTAATATTACCATTAGACGGACATTTTAATATTACTGTAATATTTCTGTAATATTACATGCTACTTGGGCAACGTTAGTTTATCGAATTTCAAAATGGCGGATCCAAGATGGTGAACAGAAAAATCAAAAAGTTTCACTAAATTTATGAAAATAACATCTAATGGATTTTTGAATCGCTGATTTTATAAATACGTACCTAAATTTTTTTTTTTTAGGTACATGGCGACAAAAACTTTGGAAAAGAAAAATCTCCAAAGGGAAGTTCAATTAGATCGTAAAGTAAAATCTTTAGAAGAAGAATTACAAAGAACTAAGGAACAATTAAATAGAGAATCTTTAGTTCACGAAGTAAAAAAAGCGAAGGTAAAAATAGAAAAATTATATTCTTTTTTATAATTAACAAAAAATAATAAAAAACTAAATAACTAAAATCGATTTTTTTCTAAATCATAGACTGCAGAGGAATTGGCACTGTGGGAAAAACAAAAAAAATGGCAACAATTAGCTGAAAAATTAAAAGAAAAATTAAAAGAAAAAACTGATGAAGTACAAAAATTACAAATAAATCATGAGAAATTACGTTCTATTATTGCTTGCATGGAGAGAGAAAAATATTATTTAAGAAGTAAATTGAAATTAGAAAAAAGTGGAATGTCAGCTGGTTTTGAATTTTCACCAGCAGTTACCACCGTTGAATCAAATATTGTCGATGATCTTGAAAAAGAATGTAATTATTTAAAGAACAAAATTCAAGAACTCAACGAGAAATTAGAAAACAATGAAACTGAACAATTTAAATGTATAATTGAAGAACAAAAAAGACGTTTATTTGCCTTGGAAACTGTTGCTGCAGTAAGATAATTTTCAATAAATATAAAAAAATAAATCTCATCTACTTTCAAAAGTAATTTGCAAATTTTTTTTTTTCTCTTAGGGAAATACTTATGTGATAAATCAATTGGAAAAATTGGAATCAATAAAACAGACATTAGAAAAGAAAAATTTGAGATTAGAGACAGAAAATTTTCAACTTCGACTCGAAGTTGAAAAATTGAATCTCGATACTCCTGGTCTTAGAGAAAAAATCGAACATTTGGAAAAGTAAAATGTTTTAAATAATTATATTGTTTTATTAAAAAGTATTGTTCATTTCTTTTTATTGTTTTTTTTTATCTTTCTTGATAGAAAATTTAAGATTTTCAAATTGCTAATTTTCAAAATAAAAGTATATTCTATAATTTAATTTTGTAGATATGTTGAAATTTTAAAAGAAGAAAAAATTTCTGACTCCATGCCTTCATCATCAGAAAACTTTCAACAAGGATCAAATACCAAAAAAACTGTTCATGAACTTGAGAAAACACTTTGCGTTTTAAAAAGAATCATTGAGAAACTTCAGTCTGAAAATAAACGTCTTAAATCTAAAAATAGTCACCGCTTAACGCAACAGGTATATGACATTAAAATTTACTTCCAAGTTTTATCTTCTTTTTTTTTTTAAATATCTATTAACCAATAAAAATTAAATCTACATTTATTTGATAAATAAATTGAATTAATAAATATTTTAATTTTTATTATATTATATTTATAAACATTTGTAGAACTATTATAACAAATGATTGTATTATAAATTTTTCAGACAAAAATAACAACTAGAGATAGTGAATCGTCTTTAAGAAAACAATATGAATTATCAAAGCAACGTATAGTTAGTTTAGAAACTGATTTACAATTATCAGAGCAAAGAATAATTATGCTCGAGAAAAGTTTACAATTTTCTGATGATGGAAATGGAGAAATTCAAGAATTAAAATTACAGGTTGCTCATAAATCTGAACTATTGGATAAAGTTAAAAATCTATTGACTAGAGCTGCAATTAATGAAAAAGCTCTTCGACAAAAGGTATGAATAAGAATTTTTATTTTTTAAATTTTATCAAATAAATTTACATATGATTTTTCAAAATCATTTTTAATTTATAAAATAATCTCAATTTAAAATTAAAGTTTTTAAATTTAACTTTCTTTTGGAATTAGAGTACATGTTTTTTTTTTTCGTTTTTTAGGTACAACAGTTGGAAATGAGACAAACACTCAGTACAATACCAGAATGTTGTGTGACGCCGACAAATAATTAATTTAATTATGTAATATATATATATAATTGTTATAAGTATTTAATTTAATTGATTAAATAAAAACAGTTCCGATTTTTTATTCGCTAAATGTAGTAGGGGCATTCTATTTTAAAATTACACCCCTAGAAAACAATTGACAATATAAGACAATTTTTAAATAATTATTTATTCTATTTAATTAAATCAAATTATAAACTTTACGGAAATAAAAAATTGAATATTTAAGCTTCCTTTCGACATAGATTTTGTCAAAATCGGAGACAATGTGTTTTGAGATATTTAGAAGTTTAACTTTCAAACTAAATTTTTTATACTAATTAAATATACATTTAAAAAAAAAAATTTTACAATAATAATGTTTAGAAATTTCTCTTTCGAAACTACTCATTGCAAAAGTAATTTAATTTAATTAAATAGGAGAAATAATTATTTAAAAATTGTCTTATATTGTCAATTGTTTACTAGGGGAATAATTTTAAAATAGAATGCCCTAGTAACAAAACTGTTAGAAAAGTTAATTTCTTTTTTTTTTATTCAATTTAATGTCAATTTAAAAGATCAAAATAATGTTCAATGTATTTTTCAGCTTACAATTTGCGTAATATGAAATTATAAATCTGTAATTTTTTTATGTAATTAAATGTAAAATATATATATAAAAAAAAGGTTGGATTTGTTGGCAATTTATCAGAGAAATCAAGACTTTAGAATCGTACATTGTAGCAGTACATGTGAAAAATCAATCAATAATTTAAAATTACTATTATTAAATATGTGGGCTCGCATTGATTATCATTTTGTTTTTTCTGTATATACTTTCTTAATTTGTTTTTTTTTCTCCTGACCTTGCAGACTGTTATAATTTGTTTGTTTTTTTACAAAAAGTACAATTTGAGATTTTTAACATATTTTCGAACTACGAATAAACATATTTTTAACTCAATGTCTGAATTTACCATAAATATATTGTTGACATAGAATATTATTCTATCAATACAGTTCAAAGGAGTTAAAAGCAAAAAGTTTTTTTTTTCAATTTCAAAAAAGCAGTGGATATAATTTTTTACTTTTTTCAATTAATTAAATTTCAAATAATTGCAAAGTTTCGAATTTATAGGAAAAATTGTTGAAATTTTTAAGATTAAGAGTGTCGAACGGTCTCTTAAATTCGTAGGCATTTAATTATCGCCCTATAAAAACGGCACTGAATGTGAAAATGATAAACATTGATTTTAAAATACTTTTTTCTTGAAACGTGGACACTTTTTTCAAAATCGGACAAAATACCAAGGATCCTCATCTTATAAATTTCTTAAATCCAAAAGATTGTGGAAATCTATACAAAAACGCGATTATAAAATGAAAAGTAGGAAAGTAATATAATGACAGCTGCGACATTGTGCTCCCTGCATGCTTCTGCCACCTAACGGCTGCAGGACGTAATAAACCTAAAATTATATTACTTTCGTACTTTTCGTTTTACAATCGCATTTTTGTATAGATTTGCACAATCTTTCGGATTTAAGAAATTTATAAGATGAGGATCCTTGGTATTTTGCCCGATTTCGAATAAAGTGTTCGCGTTTCGAAAAAAAGTATTTTAAAATCAATGTTTACAATCCTAGAATATCGATATTCATTGTCACGAATCATGAAATTAATTTTCAATTTGATTATCGAAATCAACTTTCAGAAGCAAAACGTCGACCAAAATATTTGTTACTTCTTTTCAAAGAACTGCCAAGAGAGTTTTTCCAAACACTCTGGATACAACACCAGTTCTTGGATGTCACTGTTGTCAACATGAAATCGATTAAATTACAAGTAAATTCGACAAATTTTAGAGAAACGGTCATTCATTACAATCCTTTCTCAGGGATAATATCCAAAAAAATACACTTCTTCTAAAACTATTTGGTTTCCTGACAAAATCAAAAATCTATACGGCTACCCACTGAATTTTCAAAAAAAATTCAATTTTTCTTAGGCGGATGATTTTATTGCATATTCTTGCACAAAATACACCAAAAAGTGTAGAAAAAAATTGACACCCTGATCCGAGTAGAGGAAGACCCTTTTTACCACCAAGAACGCATCCAAAAAAATAAAAAACTTACCAAAAAAATTCAATTTTTCTTAGGCAGACGATTTTATTGCATCTTCATGCACAAAATACACCGAAAAGTGTAGAAAAAAATTGACACCCTGATCCGAGTAGAGGAAGACCCTTTTTACCACCAAAAACGCATCCAAAAGCATAAAAAACTTACCAAACAAGTTGTAAATTCAGATGTTCATTACATGAACATTTTGCTTCCTCTTTACGATCAGCAAAAAAATTTGCTTCCTCGTGGAGAAAGCAAAGTTTTATTGCTAAAATGTGAATTTCTAATTTGTTAACATTCATTAATTCTTTAAATTTACCTCAAATGTATACTTTATATATATCGATCGATTCGTCTTGACGTAATGAATACGATTTTATTATATATAACCTTAAATTTTTCCATTTAAAAATTTTTTCGATTAAAAAAAAAATTTTGGAAAAAAGACGATAAAAATTTTTTTTTGAGGTATTTTTAAAAATCCTTTGTTCAGATTTGAGATATTAATATGATAAATGAGCCTACCAAATTTTACCTAAATCCATTAAAACCTGTTAAAGTTATCTTCTAAACTTTTTGATTGGTCCAGCGGATGCTGAGCTACAGTAAAAAACAAATTTGGAAAAAATTACAAAAAATAAATTTGCGAGATTATCGGTCCGGATACCACCAGTAAAATAGTCAAAAAGTTCCGAACATAAAATGTATGGCACACTTTTTGATTGGTCCAGCGGATGCTGAGCTACACTCACTAAAACTAGGGAAAAAATTTCGAAAAAAAAAATTTGCCAGATAATGACTCGGGAATAATGCCAAAAAATTGAGCAAAAAGTCTCGAACAAAAAATGTATGGCGCAGTTTTTAATTGGTCCAGCGGATGCTGAACTGCACTCACTAAAACTGGGGAAAAATTTTCGAAAAAAAAAATTTGCCAGATAATGACTCGGGAATAATGCCACTAAATTGAGCAAAAAGTCTCGAACAAAAAATGTATGGCGCACTTTTTGATTGGTCCAGCGGATGCTGAGCTACACTCAAAAAGATTTTGGAAAAATTTTCTAAAAATTAAATTTGCGAGATAACTGCTCTGGAATACCGCCAATAAAATAGGGAAAAAGTTTCGAACCAAAAATGTATGGCGCACTTTTTGATTGGTCCAGCGGATGCTGAGCTACACTCAAAAAGATTTTGGAAAAATTTTCGAAAAATTAAATTTCCTAGATAATCGTTCAGGAATATATCCATAGTGGTTAGAAGAAAGTTCTGAACAAAAAATGTATGGCGCACTTTTTGATTGGTCCAGCGGATGCTGAGCTACATTCAAAAAGATTTTGGAAAAATTTTCGAAAAATTAAATTTGCGAGATAACTGCTCCGGAATACCGCCAATAAAATAGGGAAAAAGTTTCGAACAAAAAATGTATGGCGCACTTTTTGATTGGTCCAGCGGATGCTGAGCTACACTCACTAAAACTAGGGAAAAAATTTCGAAAAAAAAAATTTGCCAGATAATGACTCGGGAATAATGCCAAAAAATTGAGCAAAAAGTCTCGAACAAAAAATGTATGGCGCAGTTTTTAATTGGTCCAGCGGATGCTGAGCTGCACTCACTAAAACTGGGGAAAAGTTTTCGAAAAAAAAAATTTGCCAGATAATGACTCGGGAATAATGCTACTAAATTGAGCAAAAAGTCTCGAACAAAAAATGTATGGCGCACATTTTGATTGGTCCAGTGGATGCTGAGCTACACTCAGATAAATTTTTTAAAAAATTTTGAAAAATTAAAATTGGGAGATAATTGATCGGGAATACCGCCAAAGTCTTAACCCGGCAGTCTCGAACAAAAAATGTATAGCGCACTTATTGATTGGTCCAGCGGATGCTGAGCTACACTCAGATAAATTTTTTAAAAAATTTTAAAAAATTAAATTTGCCAGATAATTGGTCGGGAATACCGCCAAAGTCTTAACCCGGGAGTCTCGAACAAAAAATGTATGGCGCACTTTTTGATTGGTCCAGCGGATGCTGAGCTACACTCAAAAAGATTTTGGAAAAATTTTCGAAAAATTAAATTTGCTAGATAATTGTTCGGGAATATATCCATAGTGGGTAGAAGAAAGTTCTGAACAAAAAATGTATGGCGCACTTTTTGATTGGTCCAGCGGATGCTGAGCTACATTCAAAAAGATTTTGGAAAAATTTTCGAAAAATTAAATTTGCGAGATAACTGCTCCGGAATACCGCCAATAAAATAGGGAAAAAGTTTCGAACAAAAAATGTATGGCGCACTTTTTGATTGGTCCAGCGGATGTTGAGCTACATTCAAAAAGATTTTGGAAAAATTTTCGAAAAATTAAATTTGCGAGATAACTGCTCTGGAAAACCGCCAATAAAATAGGGAAAAAGTTTCGAACAAAAAATGTATGGCGCAATTTTTGATTGGTCCAGCGGATGCTGACATACACTCAAAAAGATTTTGGAAAAATTTTCGAAAAATTAAATTTCCTAGATAATCGTTCGCGAATACAGCCAATAAAATAGGGAAAAACTTTCGAACAAAAAATGTATGGCGCACTTTTTGATTGGTCCAGCGGATGCTGAGCTACATTCAAAAAGATTTTGGAAAAATTTTCGAAAAATTAAATTTGCGAGATAACTGCTCCGGAATACCGCCAATAAAATAGGGAAAAAGTTTCGAACAAAAAATGTATGGCGCACTTTTTGATTGGTCCAGCGGATGCTGAGCTACACTCAAAAAGATTTTGGAAAAATTTTCGAAAAATTAAATTTGCGAGATAACTGCTCTGGAATACTGCCAATAAAATAGGGAAAAAGTTTCGAGCAAAAAATGTATGGCGCAATTTTTGATTGGTCCAGCGGATGCTGAACTACACTCAAAAAGATTTTGGAAAAATTTTCGAAAAATTAAATTTGCTAGATAATCGTTCGCGAATACAGCCATAGTGGTTAGAAGAAAGTTCTGAACAAAAAATGTATGGCGCACTTTTTATTTGTCCAGCGGATGCTGAGCTACACTCAAAAAGATTTTGGAAATATTTTCGAAAAATTAAATTTGCGAGATAACTGCTCTGGAATACCGCCAATAAAATAGGGAAAAAGTTTCGAACCAAAAATGTATGGCGCACTTTTAGATTGGTCCAGCGGATGCTGAGCTACACTCAAAAAGATTTTGGAAAAATTTTCGAAATATTAAATTTCCTAGATAATCGTTCGCGAATACAGCCATAGTGGTTAGAAGAAAGTTCTGAACAAAAAATGTATAA